CAGCTGGAACCCACCAGGACCAAAAGCAAAGGCATGGTGAGATCACTCCTCAGATAGGTGGCCTGCACTACTGCGCCATCACACGAGGTTTTCAAGGTCTTACAGAGGAGGTAGACAGATCTTTCAGGAATCAGAGCAGTGCTCTAGAGGGATACACGTGAGGTCCCAGGGAGAAAACTGGAGCCATAGCTAGAGTCTCAGAAATTGAGTATCTGGGGGTGGAACAACAGACAGAGTCAAACCACTCTATACTGGACTGAAGATTATGGAGATTCTAAAAGATAAAGGGGAAAAAAGATACAATATGTAAAGTTTTGAGATATGGGGTGACTTGCCTGGGGCCCACACTAGCTCCGTGTAGAGCGGCTGACCCACAATCCTGGCTCCACATGATGAGTAGGGGAAACACCATCCTGCGTGGGCACTGGGCACAGGTGCCGAACAGCAGCCCACACCGCAGCACCTGCGGACAGGCTCTGGAAGCCCTTGGCGACTCAGCCAGCACGACCTAAGGAGAGGCTCAAGCGGTGGCACTCTGTGAAGAGCAGGAACTTTCTCAGGGACCAGGCTGGGGAAAGATAAGCCTTTAGAATTTTCTCATGATGTCTCAACAGCCCTACAGGGTCCAGCCAAGGAAAGTGTTTGGTTAGGTTGATATGAAACTCAAATATAGTGATGTCAACTCCTCCCAGGCCAGGACACCATTCTCTACTGAAGGAGATGACACTGAATTTAGTAACCAACCCATTCCAGGTACAGGATTAGCCCCACGGATAGGCACTGGGAGCTCAAGCCTGATCTGATCAACGCCACAAACAATGCATGATATAGGGAAAGTGGCCAAGTGGTCACATCTCTCCTGCATCACTAGGGAGGAGGCTAACCCAAGAAGCTGGTATTGCTGACAAGGAAGCCATCAATTCTGACACAAGTGGCCAGGGAAGGTTCTCGAGAGGAGCAGCCATCCGAGCTGGGCCTTAGAGTGGAGCTTCAGATTGAGCACAGGGAGAAGGCCAGCTGGGCTAAGAGAACAGTCCAAAGGGAGGGCCTGAAGGTCCTAAGTATTTGGGCAATGGTGGGTGGTCCTAATGGGTGGGAGGGGAGGGACTGTGGAGCACAGGGTGGGGAAAGCAGCCTGGGGTCAGAATGAGAGAAGAGGCAGGTGACCCAGACCAGGGCCTGGAGATGTACTGTGTCCACTGAGGGATGTGAGGGGAGGGATGACAGAATCAGGTAAAAGGGATGTGGATCCTAGGGGCAAAGACATGAGGTCTGGACTCAGACACACCTGGCTCCACCATCTAGAAAATGTGTGATCTTGGGCAAGTCATTTAATTTTGTATGCCTCAGTTTGCAAAACAGGGATATTACAGATTGGAAAAAGAAAAGTACAATTACCTCTAATTGCAATATGCCTGTCTACAGAGAAAATTTCAAGAATTTCAACCAGAAACTCATTGAACTACTGAGTGCAGAAATGTCATAAGATACAAGACTAACACTCAAAAATCAATTTCATCTCTATATACTACCAATGAACATGTGGAAACCAAAATAAAAAACACATTACCACTTATAATTTCTCCAAAGAAAATTAAATACTTAGGTATAAATCTAACAAAACATTTACAAGATCTGATAAGCAGTTAAAATAAAAAATAACACCACCATCAAATGCGGACAGGAATGCAAAGAAACTGCATAATTTACACATTCTTGACGGAAATGTAAAATGGTACAGCCATCCTGGAAAACAGTTTGGAAATTCCTTTTAAAACTAAAAATGAACTTGCCATGTAACCCAGAAATTGCACTCCTGGACATTAATCCCAGAGAAATAAAAACTTATTTTCATGCAGAAACCTGTACATGAATATCCACAGCAGCTTTATTTGCACTAGCCAGACCTGGAAGCTATGCAAATTTCCTTCAGCAGGTGAATGGATAAGCAAACTGTGACATATCCACACCATGGAATACTACTCAGCAATGAGAAGGAACAAACAAATTACACATGCAACAACTTGGATGAACCTCAAGGAAATTATACTGAGTGAAAGAAGCCAAACTACACAAGGCTATATAGTGCATAATTTCACTTACAGAACAATTGTGAAGTAACATAATGATAGAGATAGAGAATAAACAGATTAGTGCTTGCCAGGGGATACGATTGGGGTCAGGGGTAGCACAGGGCATAGGTGTGTCTATAAAGGGGTTGCATGAAGGAGTCCTGTGGTGCTGGTACAGTTAAGCACCTTGATTATGGTGGTGGAAGCCACACATGATAAACCTGCTTAGAGCTGCACATAAAAACACACATACGAAGTGCACATAACTGGAGAAACATGAATGAGCACTACGGATTGTGCCAATGTCAGTTTCCTGGCTCTATAATGTACCATAGTTATGCAAGCCATCAACACTGGGGGAGACCAGGTGAAGGGTGCACTGATCCTCCCTAGACATTTCTTCGCACCTCCCTGTAAATCTATAATTACTTCAAAATAAAAAGCTTAAATTTTTAAAGACCAAATTTTAAAGAGGAAAATTATTTGAACAAATACTTCACTAAAGATAGACCAATGGCAAATAAGCCCAGGAACAGATACAGAACATCACTAGTCATTAGGCAATGCAAATTAAAATCACAATGAGGTACCACTACACATCCATTAAGATGGGTAAAACTGCAAAGACCACAGTATCAAGTGTTGGTGAGGGTGTGGAGCAAATGGAACTTTTATAAACTGTTGGTAAGAATCCTAAATGGTACAGCCACTTTAGAAAACAAATGTCCAGTATCCTATAAAGTTAGTATACATTTAATCATACAACCTCACAATTCCGCTCCAAGGTATTTGCCAAAGAGTAGTAAGTACGTATGTCTACACAAAGGTTTGTACATGAATATTTACAGAAGCTATATTCATAATACCAAAGACTGGAAAGCATCCAACAACTAGTGAATGAGTAAACAAATTATGGTTCAGCCATACAATGGAATATTATTCTGCAATAAAAAGAAACAAACTCCTGATACATGTCACAAAATGGATGAGTATTAAAAGCATTATGTAAAGTGAAAGAAGCCAGAAAGGACCATACTTAATGTTCCATTTATATGACGCTCTAGAAAAGGCAGAACTAGAGACAGAAAAATCAGATCAGCTGTTTCCAAGGGCCGAGTGGTGTGGGGATGGGACTGACTGCAGAGGGGCACAGGGGACCTTTTGGGAGTAAAGGAAACATTTCATATCTTGATTGGAAATGGTGGTCAGATGACTTGCATGCATTTGCCGAAACTCATCAAATTGTGCATCTAGAAACAGGTGACTTTCAGCATATGTAAAATATACCCCAATTTTTTTCAAAAAGAGGTCAAGACCAATGGCCAAGGGTCTAAAAAAGGGCATCAGTGGAAGACACACAGTTTCTTGGCCCACATCTACAGTGGGCTGGGTCTGAGGAAGCCAACCTACCTAGCAAAGAGCCCTAGATTTAGGGTCCAAATTCAATTCACTGTCACTCAGCTTCTGCCTGTGCAAGTGCAGTGGGCCTAACTTGAGGGCCTTGGCTACCAGGAAGGAGAGGCTATGGCCACAGGTATGGACAGGAGCAGGAATAAAAACACCAAGAGGTGAACAGTTAAGAAGGGTTGAATGCTCTGCCTAAAGCAAGGGAGCAAGACAAGATTGGAATGAATGAACGTATCATCAAAGAGAGCAAGTAAAGCTGCTTCTCTCCAAATCTTGGTTTTCTTTAATTCAGCTATTATTTCATAAAATGCCTCATAAACCCTTCATGCCAGGTGCTTTATAACTATCTCTCTAACCCTCTCAACAGTCCCTGAGGGTGGCCCTCCCTCCTGAGGCTGTAACAAGTGCCTAGGAAAGCACTTGGGTTCTGCAATCACAAGGCTTGCATGTGTATCCCAACTCTGTCCCTTGCTGGTTGGTGTCCTGGAACAGTCATTGACTCCCTTTGACATCCCCCCTCTTCCCAGTTTCAGGTTCCAGTAATAACACTGATCACTGAAAAAGTCGTATTACTTTCCCGACCTTCCTCTCTCAGTAAATTGTTATGCTTCACCTGTGTTTCTTGAGGGCTCAGCTTTTAGACAAGCCTAATCTAGTAGCCAACAGAGATAAGTTTTCATATCATCTCGGGGACAGCTCAGGCGGCCTCGTTTTTCCTCCTACATGTGATAAAAAGGGAAGGGGAGTCATCTCTTGCACTGTCCTGAAATCAGTCTCCCCACTTCAAGAAAGTTGGGTGTTACCTGTTCTATCAGTCAGGGTTCTTCAGAGAAACAGAACCAGTAAGATGGAGATATTCGTACATACATACACGGGGAGGACAGGGGAGAGGTTGCAAGGACTTATGTGGTGCGGTGGGGACTGACCAGTTCAGAATGTATAAGGCCGGCTGGCAGCTGGAAACGCTCAGGCAGAAGCTGATGCTACACTCTTGAGGCAGAATTTCTTCTTCTTCAGTGAAACCTGAGTTATGCTCTTAAGGCCCTTCAGCTGAGTGGATGAAGTCCACCCGCATTTTGAGCACTTTCTTTTTATTTAAAGGCAACTGACTGTAAACATTAACCACATCTACAAAATGCCTTCACGGCAACACCTCAGTTAACGTTGGACTGAATAACTGGGTTGCTCAGTACAATCGCCCAGCCACACTGACCCTTAAAACTAACCATCACACCTGTCCTGTGAGGTCAGGCAATACCCACAGAGGGGGCTGAGGATTCCTACTCAAGTTTTCAAGAGAAGCAGGAACAGACTTCAGAAGGGCAGGATTCTCTAACATAAAAATAACTACCTGGCTCCCTTCTTGGGGACTCTCAGTTCCACGGATGGTTCTACTGTTTGCGCTATTCTCCTGGATGAGCTCTGGGACATAAACTTGAAACATTTTGACCTAAAATCTAATAAAGAGATTGGAGTGACATTAAAAAAAAAAGTAAAAACAAAGACACAGACTTCAACCTCTCGAAAATAAAAAATAAAATTCATTTATTAAGGAAAAATTTAACACATGATCCGTGTGCAGAATCCCAAACAAGATCTTCTACAAGCTCCTGCAAAGCCCACATCTCTGTACGTACCATGTGGGAAACACACATCCATGGAGACACAGAGCATACACAGGACTGTCCAGTTATCAAGACCTGCTGGACAGGAGTTTTTCATATTCCTCTTATTCACACATCCACTGACATGTTTTACAATAGTCACATAATTTTACCGTTCAGTAAGACAAAATAGCTTCCACAGCATTACTTTGACTGAAACAAAAGAACACGGCTTACAATAGGTACCCTCCACCTCACTCCCCCACCGTGATTCTGGCAACCGCATATCAGCACCATTTACGTCCCCTGGCCAGGAAAGGACACAGCGTCCCAAAGGATAGAGAAGAAATGCCACAGGCTGATATCAGAGAAAACAGCCTTGCAACCAGCAGAACCAATTGCCTAAAAGTATCGACCGTTATTTCAAAGACAAACCATACCCTCTCCTTTTCCCTGAATGGTCTCAGAGATGTGTGATGTCCTTTGGAAACATTACCTCTAAGGCAGACTTGGAGCCGACTCTGAATCACCAAGTCGTGCCACCTGCACTTTGTGTCTCGTTTGTGAAAAAGCAGCTTGCGTTCTGACCGGGGCCGAGCTAGGGCTCCCCCCTAACATCCAATCAGCCACGAGATACAGCCCGCTGACACAGATCCCCTTGGGGTGAGTGGTCAACAGAGGGAGCTGTAAACAGACATAAACTGAGACTGTCCACTTTCAAAAAACATGAGGTAAACATGTAGTGTTAAATAGAGAGGATATACTATATTTCAGGAGGGAGAGATTTAAGAAGAGAAAAGCAAGACAGGAGCACAGGGAGGGAGAAAAGATTTTCCTAATGTACCTGTGTGGGATCATCACTTTAATACAGCTGATAAAGCTGCAAATTTTACCTTTCACAGGGTTAGAGAGGGAATGGTGAGCATCAGCCAGTGAATTTGGCTGGAGAGGTGAGCGATGGAGGAGGCGGGTGTAAGTGGCAGGTTCTAGGTGAAGACACGCTACACGGTCACATATCTCTAGCCAGGCTCTGTGTAGATGAAGGGCTCCTAGCAGCTGGATAGCAGCACAATATAAATATAAATAATGCCACTTGTGAAACGTACAACTGTTAGGCGAATGAAACAGAAGATGCCAGGTCATGCTGTGGCCAGCAAGTACCTGCATTTAAGGAGAGGTATATCACCTATAGGGAGTTGGAAACCTGGTCCCAATAGTGGTATTTGCAGGAGAGAACACGGGGCTCTGAGAAGCCATCTCCAGGCTGATGGGAATCTGGGGTTGCCCTGGGGAGCCTGGAGATGGACACAGAGCCGAACAGTACTGGGCCAGAAAACCCCTCGGTTGGTCTTTGGTCTGGGAGATGTGGCCTCACACTCCTGAAAGGCCTTCTGCTGCTCCCTGATCAGTCATCTGAATACGCTGGGGCTTCTTCACCAGGGATCAGAGCAGGGCCCAGGGAGAGGTGGGGTAGCTGGTCCCTAACAAGCACTGGAAAGAAACCAGGGAGGGCTCCCTGGCTGAGAAGCCCATGAATAGCAGAGGAGTAAGGGTTGACCCTTTACTTGACACCTAATCGCTGTGCAACCACACTAGCAGGAAGTTCCCCATGGGGTCCCCCTTGCCTGGGTCTCCTGAAGACAGGTGATCCGGCTATTAAAGCAGCAAAAGCACAGAAAAGCGATCAAACAGGGTGAAGCCCAGGCCAAACTGTCTTCCCGAAGTGCCAGAGCTAGAGCTGTCTCTCCTACACACGATGGTCCCTGGGCAGAGGCCCTGAAGCAACAGACCTGGAGCTGGATGACCTCAACACTATGCTGTCCAGTCCTCAGTTCCCAGCATCACAGTCCCAATCTCACGACCCGCCTGGACCGGGCTGCCTCAAACAGCTCCCTGAGTGCACAGAAGCTCCACTGAGGATGCTGTGGGCAGGACACATGTCTGACTCCCTTCTGCTGGCCCACACCTTCTCACTGAAAACAACCCTGCTGACCACTGTGGAGAGACAACTGGAGCCCGGGCTCGCAAACAGGAGATGACAGTTCTTGAACCCACTTCAGTAACTTCTAAGCCTGAGGCTTCAAAGGGCAAGGCCACTGCAACCTCCAGTTAGAGCCCTGGTCATGTAAGCACCCGGTAGTGACCACCAAAGAGCGGAGAGCGTGGATGAAAAGTACCATTTTCCTAAGGGAAACCAAGCCACCAATGATTGCATCTTTTGAAGTTAATAAATTATTAGATAGCTCAGGAGTCACTGCTATGAGAAAGTCTGGCTTTGGAACAGAAGAAAAAGAAAAAGCAGGGGCCACAGGAGTGGGTCACAGCCCTTAGGAGTTTTGGTGAAACACAAAAACAGAACCCGATAAAGTTGCGCTGCTCTCCCAGACTTTCAGGTACGTGAGAGCCTGGTGGCAGGGCTGGAGGACAGCAGGACTCTGTTACATGTGCATGAACACCTACACACACAGACACATAAACCGCTCAAGAGACGGAGAATTAGTGAACGCTCTTCTGCAATCCTTCTCACACCGCGAAGGGAGGAAAGGCAGCCCAAACCAAGGCAATGCACCTTCCTCTGCCTTCTCCGCAGTTTGTTCCCAAACCTGAAGGCTGACCTTGAGGTGACTCAGCCCTGAGGCTATTTCTTTTCTGATACCCAGGGAGGCAAGCGGGGGTGGGGGGGGCAAGCGGGAAGGGAAGAATAAGGGCACCATTAGTGTTCAGAACACAGGAGACCGAAGTCCCACCCAACCAAGTGGTTCCTTTAGAAATCCAGGTCCTGGAGGCAGCCGGAGGCGGGGCACTGTTTCCACCCCACCCTCCAGGAATTGTAAACAACCGAGCACCACTCTTAGTGTTGGATGCACACTGGCCTTATCTTCTCCACGGCAGGAGTCTGGCGGTCTTCCCAGCATGAGGGCAACTGGATGCAGCCATCCAGTTTGTGTGTCAAGGGCTGAGGCAGGGAAAACAGGCCTGAACGCACAAAGTAACCATTTCATAAGTCTCCTGTGGGGAGAAACACACCCAATGTGGCCATCCTTCCCCTCAGCCTCGTGTGTCGGCATCTCCTGTGTCCCTCGTGCTTTCCCAGGAGGAAACCAGGCTGGTCTGTGGGGAGGCAGAGTTCGTGGCTCCCCACAGAGGTCCACACATTGGTGATCCCGATTAAAACCCCTGGGGTACTCGGCAGAGGGTGCTGAAGGCCTAAGCAGACGTCTCCTGGAGGAAGGTCTTCTCAGCAGGAAAAGCTAAGGAAGGGTTTACTGAGAAAGGAACAATTCACAGTAACCCCAGATCTCGAGACAGAGTCTAAAAACAGAAGCTAATTTTAAATAAGATGTAAATATTTTCCATTTTGGCAGCACACGGTGTCTTCCAGGAGCTAGAGCGACTAAGAAAACAGTATTATGACCCACATGAGGAATTTGGAGAAAAGAAGGTATTGTCCAGGGTCACAACAAGCCAGAGAGAACAAAGGCTAAAAACTCCAGCTTTGGGGGCTGGTTTTAAACTACTAAGTAGGCTCCATTACTAGGTGGAGACTTGAATCAGTAGGAGAATACTGAGGTAAAATATTTGGGAGAGAGATAAGAGATAGGCCCGGCTTTGTAAAGAGGGAGTATTCCCTCTTACTTCACCTAGGCCTGGCCCAGGAAAGGGGAAAACATGAAGTTGGAGACATGAAAAATTGTAAATAAAGTGAGCTGTGCAACAGGAATAAATTGGCTGAGGGGTTAGGAGAGAGGCAGGTAGTAAGGGAGGAGGCACAATCAGGGAAAAGAGTTGAAAAGTTCTGGGTTAAAATAAGTACAAATAAACAGTAATGGCACTGCCACAAGAGGTACCTCCCACGGAGCTGCTGTCCACCCTTTCAGCTGCCCTCAACCCTACCTGGCCCAGGGTACCCTGGTGCCAGGTAGAGGGGTTCCCGCATGGCAGCCTGGCCTTTCCCCAGAGCCTGGACCCTACCTGAGGCTCTGGGGCCAGGTGCTGGGGAACATACAGGGTGCCGTGGGATGATGCAGGGAATGCACCGAGCCCGCTATGCAAAGGCACTGGTGGAGTTGATGAAGATGGGAGCGTTGCTTGGCTGGATCAGCTCGTAGATGGCCACACACGTCCCCACCACAAAGCCCACGAAGCCCAGGATGCTGATCAGGGCGTCCTTGATGATGGTGAGGGGGCTCATGCCCTCTGAGTAGTAGGTGGTGATCTCCAGGAGGGGCGGGATGATGAGGGCCAGGGCACTGCTGCTCACGGAGCCCACCAGGGAGATGACCAGGTCCAGGCGGGGGATGAGGATGGCCAAGATGCCTGCGGGAGAGAGGACATTCCTGTTCACGACTGCCCACAGCTGGAAGAGACCTCCTCACCGTTTCGCAAATTTAGCCAGTGTCCTTCTTACAGAATGCAGAGCTCCAAGGAAGCTTAGACATCATCCAGTCCAATCTCTCATTCCGCAGATGAGAAAATAGATGTTTGGAGTTGTGGCATGACCCAGGTCTCATTGCAAGGACTGGGACTGGAACCTACATTTCCCAGCTTTTCCCACTACAGTACTTGACTTCCATCTTCCTGAGGAAAAGGAATAAAATACATTCCAGGGCAGTCTGGTCCTACCAACGAAAAGTGAGTGTGGAGCAGAAAAGCAGGCAGACCTTTTCTGAGCGATGGCTCATCTTCTTACAGCTAAGGGTACCTCCAACACAAACCTCTCTGATTTGACTAGCAATAAATGAAATAGGGAAGGAAACCCCTCCTTCCTCTGGAATGATCTCACATAAATCCCACTGCAAGGAGCGTTTTCATACAAGGAAAGAAGAAGCAGGTCTGTGTGCAGGCTGACCTCGATGACCATGTCCCTGTGCAGGACAAGCTGGTGGCTCCCACCTGAAACTCAGCCCCGGGTGTATGTGAGGAAGATGGCACTGATGATAAACATGAATGGCAGCTTCGTGAGGAAATGCCAGTGGCTTCCACAGCACACCAACGCCTGCACCACTGTCCAGCTGGCCAGACGGTGCTGTTTAAAACCAAGAGGAGGAGGCTCCACTGATCACACTTATTCTAGTGCCCCCTGCTCCCACCTAACTCAGCTCTCCACTGAGGGGTGAAGGCCAATGTTTCACAACTTTATTGAGGATATTGGGCTCTGGAATTAAGCACTTGTGTTTGATCCCAGGCTTTGCCTTCAGTGATACACGGCTGCTATCCCAGTTTTCCTGTTGGCAAAATGGGAATACTAAAAGCCCCTATGTCACAGAGATGTCATGATGGTCAAAGGAGGTTAGAAAGGCACTCAACAAAAGGCCTGGTGTACAAGAGGCACAGGATACAGTTAACACTGTCATCACCAGAGCACATTGTGTCGCTCGTGGAAAGTGCATCATTAGTTCATTAGTAAGCAAATGCATTTTGATGAATTGTCTTCTCCACTGCCGGGCTCCACCTGGATATCCTGAGCACTGACACAGTGATCCAGGGCACATCTATTACCTTGCTGATCCCACGAGAGACTTACCCCTGGACACGAGGGTTTCTGTTCTGACTTCATTTCATAAAGCAAAAATGTAGGCAAACTGCTCTGAGGAAGGCGCCACACTGGGGAGCGGCCAGAACATCTTAATCCAATGTAGCTGATTTTATCCTTCAGACAGACTGTCTAAATTGATCGCTGCTTCTTTGGCTGAGCACCAGACGCAAGAAGCGGGTTGCATTTAGAGGCCGGGATTTAAGAGAGACACTTACTCTTTTTTAAAATTTTTAATTTTAATTTTTTCCTCTTTAATATATTTTCATTGAAGTAAACAAACTTATGGTTGCCAGAGGGGGAAGAGGGTGGGAAGGCATAAACTGCGAGTTTGAAATTTGTAGATACTAACCAATACATATAAAATAGATAAACAAGAAATTTATACTGTGTAGCACAGAGGAACAATTTAAACTGGAATACCACTCCCTGCAGTAACAAGGAAGCATGTGGGAACCAAGGTTCAGCGGAGTCCTGTCACCTGTCTCACACTTAGTCTGCAGCTGTGTTGTCTGATAAGACCGCAGTCACCAGCTATTCAAGTTTAAATGAATTCAGTTCCCCATTCACACTGGCCATACTGCAAAGATTCAACAGCCTGTGCCTAGTGGCTACTGTCCTGGACAGCACAGATCCAGAACACTTCCATCATGGCAGGACACCTACTGTCTAGTGGACAGCACTGGGAAGTGTCCACTCACTGGGCTGAATTTGCCTCAGCTCCATGGAGACATAATTCCACAACATTATTGTCACCCCCATGGAAAGAGAGGTCTGAAGAGGTTAAAGGACAGAAAGTGACAGAGCTGGGACTAGAATCCAGGACCTCCAGCCCCTGGTACAGTCACATCAGAAACCTGATGAGGAAGAAAATACAGAATTATATGCACAGAGGAAGGAGGACAGGGCATCTGGCTGATGAGCAGAAAGATTCTGTCTGTGAAGAACTAGGGGAGGCAGGTATCAGGTTAGCTTTCCCAGGGCTGCACCACAATCGTTTGGTAGAGAATCGGGTATACAGTCAGCCCTGACCCTTCTCTGCTTTGTAAAGGACACCAGACAAGGGTTATGAAGCCTGATAACAAAAGGGGATACAGAAAAAAAGTGAGTCTCAGATCTGCCTTTGCCGTCCAGGGTGTTACAGCCCGGGGGCGGTCCTTCCTCTTTCTTTCTCCTAGTATTCAACCATCATGGCAACAACAACCTGACTGCTGAGAAGCCTTCAGAAAGTCTACAAAAAGTATATGCTTTTAACTTGCTCTGCAAGTTAAAAACAGTCTGTTTCAGCCTTTAGCTATTTCTAAATAAAGAGTTGGTGATATCTGTTAAACCTTCAGTGTCGAATCTGGGGAAAAGCTGTGTTTCTAGGCTGATGACAAAATGGTGTTCTCATCATAGATAACCTAACACTCTATAAGAGATGATCTGCTGTGTGGCTTGGAATAAGACACTTGCCCTCTCTGGGGTCTGGGTCTCTCTTTGCATAATGCTTAACCACATATTGCTGGCTCGTAGATGTTCTGATTTGAATGAGTAGTGGGGTGGAAACAGAGAGGTAGCCATCAGACCAGCCGACCCACACCCAGGAGAGGCTGGTACAGGAATGTGATTAAACATACAGGCTCTGGACTCAGAACCTAGAACTCAATCCCAGCTCCACCAGTGACCAGTCAGTTACTTAACCTCTTTAAGACTCATATCCCCTACTGCTACAAAGGGGATGGTCAAATGGGATCATTGACGTAAAGAACTTGGAGTCCTATGCACATAACAAATGTTTCATAAATATTAACAAACAGAATCACCCGTCTCTGCTCAGTAGTAGGCTGAGTGTGATCCGAGGGGAAAAATGATGATCCCATGATGAGCCTCAGTTCATTCACTCATGTCGTTAAGGTGACTGTATTATACTGGACAACCGGTCAAGTCAGACTCAACTGTGCAATCTTAAGGAACAACACAATGCAGATTCAGTCACTTAAGAATATGTCCCTCAGCTCACTGCCAACTGGGAAGCACCGTGTGCTGTTCCAGAGGGGCACAGCAGAGGGATGGGATTCTACTCTTAGAAAATGTGGTTGGGCCAAAAACATAGCTTCTCGTCCACCTGGTTTTGTATCGTTAAAGGGAATGTGAGTTATTCCTCCTGGTCCGTAGGATGCTTCAGTTCACTCAGGAGAATGGAGGCCTTTATCAGACAATGAGCCCCAGGAGGAGGCCTGCCCGGCCCCTCCCGGTTCTGAGTCTGTTCTCTCCTCTCCCTCTCTCACATTGGCCTGGAGGACAGATGGGCACTTCACGATAAGAGTTCAGTGAAGTCACATGTATCTCCACTCCGATAAGAATTAAGTGAAAACAGAAACAGAAGCTGATGTGATCAGAATCTTTTCTCAGATTGGAGGAGATGTTCCATTTCACCATGGCATTTCAAGAGCAATCTAAAAACTTGTACTTTCTTTTTCTCTAACAGACATACAAGATAAGTATGCTTAACACAAATGTCCTTAATAGATATATTTTTTAAGGGGTAAAACTTTTCTCTTAAAGCCAGGACCACAGGGCTGCAAAGGGAGGACCCTCTTCCTGTCCTAGCTGGACCGGATACACAGCTGAACCCTAAACTCTGACATTGGAGAAAGATAATGGGGGCAGAAGGCAGGAAGAGTGAGCCTCCCGCTAATACACTAGGGGAAGAGGAAGAGAAAGGGACCCAAACCAAGGGCTCAATAGCCAAGATGTCTGCTTGCCACCAGGCAAAATGAGGCAAACTAGTTTTAATAGTTCCAGAGGTGGGACTCGGGTACTTAGGAAAGGTATGGGAGCAACTAAAACCTCTTCCAGCACTAAATGTCTTTATTTCATGAGTTAAAGGCCTCTAGAAGAGAAACTCAAGGGGACAGAGATCTGAGGAAGCAGCCAACTGGGAACACCCTCTCCCAACTCCCCCACAAAAAAAGCACCTCCCAAAAAAGACAGCAGACTCCCCTTGGGCAGTTCCACAGCCCTCCACAGCAGCCTAGCTGTGGCATGTACAGAAAGGGGGTACTGAGGACAACCAGACCACATGATTAGTCAAGAGGCTCCAATGGTATTACAAAACATCTTCCCGTTGGGCTAAGAGACCTGAAAATGTGACCTTTTAACTGCTGAAACAGCACAAGGCCAACGGCCAGTTTCAGAAGTGACTGGGATTCTGGAGTCTGTGGTTTTAGACCAGCAACAGACAGAGCTGACTTCTGCACAAGAGAAGAGAAAGCACTTAAGAGAAAACAAGCACACACTGACAGAAATGGCTTGAACACTTACATCTCCTGTGTCGAGAAGTGCTTTCTCCTGTTTATTAAGATCAATGCTGGCACAGCCCACCTGTGTGACTCTTAAATGGCTAGAAATCTGCCTTTAAAATTAATGTCTTGGACAGAACATATAATTTCATTTAACGGGAGTATAAATTTAGAAAAATACAAAAGCCATGCAACCTATATGTCCATCATTAAAGGAGTAGTTTATCAAATATGATCTCCCAATAAAATGGAATCTCACGTGGTCACAAATATATTTACAAAAGATATGTATATTCATGATGTGATTTTTAAATAAAACACGAAGGACAAGGTTACGTGTATACTGTGATTGCAACTATTTGTAAAAAGCATCCATGAGAATTAACACAGAAGATAAAATGCAAAAAAAAAAAATTTAAGGCAGTGGGATACTGGGAATTTCTTCTTCACTTACTCCAGATCTAGACTTTCTTCAAATGTTTTTATATTAACTTTCTCTTTTCGAGCAATATTTCAGTAGAAACTAAAAATTAGGCTCAAAGTCGTAGTTAGGCATGAAGGCAAGCGTAGGGATCAGATCCCCTTGGTCCCTTACAGCTGAGGCCCTGTGACAGCTCCCGCAGTGGGGAAGGGGGCACAGTGTGCAGCTAACAAATGCTGCTGTCCTTTTACTTTGTAGTTGCAAAACTGAGACGCCTGAAAAGTCAAAAAGAGTTGAGAAGCCACTATTTGGACTTGGAAGCTTCATGCTTGAAAGTGTATGGCTGCTTGGAATGTTTTACATTCCAGTCTAAACAGGCTTCTTAACTGAGATGGCTTTATTGTTACTGCATCTTCAACAATAGGTTTGTGCCATTCTCATACTTAACTGAAGTAAATCGTTTCATGTGGCAAATGGCACAGAGAATCAGTACAAATCTCTGAGGGACAGGTTAGTGCCTCAAGGAATCCAAAGAAACTACTCTTTCTACACCTCTGGCCTCCCCCAGGTGGAGCCAGCTGCTCCAGCTTCTTCTACACAAAGCTCTGGACATAAGGTGAGCTGCTCAGTCTGCGTGTCCACACATATGGGCTGGAAGTAAATACTGTCCCATACAAAACCAGAACAAAATAAGCACCAATCTCTGATGTGCGTATTTTCCCGTCCTCTCCTCTCCAGCAGCGTGAAATTGAGCATCAAAAAGTAGACACAACCATCTTTAGGGGACGGGGAAGAGTGGTAAGAAAGTTGAATTCCAAGTGGAAAAAAAAATGAGGCTGGACCAAATTCTCCTGCTTCCCTTGGAGATGGAGGGTGAGGAAGAGGAAGAAAAGTTGGAGGAAAGACAAAAAATCCCGAATATCAGTAAAACAAGCTGCCATTAAAGTTTATGGGAATAACTGAAAACAATCAGCTATATCAAAGATCTAAAAGCATATGCCAATTAACCTTCTGCAAAAGGATCTGAAGGTACAGAGAAACAAAAACAAAATGAACTCACATAAATGCAATTAAGTTGGTGCTATAGTGAAATGTATCTCTTGAATCCCACAGTCACTTCAAAGTCTCCAGGGAAAGCAAGAGAAGCCGAGTGCTCAGAGATGAAGAGGCTGCACCCTTTAATAGGATAACACTGCAATGCTAAGTCACAACAGATCACAGGAGAAGGGGAAAAACAACCCAAAGCACTTGAAGATCAAAAGCAGCTTGTGCCCTTTGAGAGTCATACTGCAGAAGGGAGGTGAGACCCACAGACAGTGCTAGGAATAGCGGAGCGAAAACCAAGAGGCATCTAAGGATAGCAATGAGGTCTATGAATCAGAGACTGCTGGCTCCTGCAGGGCTCAGTGGAGAGGATCCTGGCAGGAAGTGAAACATATGCTCCTGAAGGCTGAGCCAGGCTTGAGAAGAAATCGGGGCAGTGAGAGGAGTCAGGGCCAGCTCGCCGCTCCAGCTCTTCTGGCAGGCACAGCACATTTTATCCAGAAGACCTACTTTCTCTAGAGGAACCACTTTGAAACAAAGCCCATTATTTGAACTATCCCTGTCCTTTCTTCCAACACCCCCTGGATTCAAGAATTAGGGCCCTGAGGTTTGACCTTATGAAGACTTGTCACATGGAAACTGTCTCCTCAATACTCAGACTTAACCCATTCACAGAGGAAACATATGCATTTGATCAAAGTATCCAGAGTTGCCAGCAGGATTCAGGAGTAAAATTGAGAGTCCAAGCATCCTATCTTATCACACATTAAGTTAATTTACTAGAAAAGTAAGTTAGCTCACATTCCTTTCTTTTCAGTCGCTCTAGGGCAGCAGTGGCCTGCAGGCAGCCCAGGTCACTGGGTCAGTTGCAGAGTGGGCTGTTTTATAAGCTGGTCTAGAAGGGAGCTGGAAGGGTGGCCAAATACAGGCTATAAGAAATCAGATTCTTGGTTTCCATCAGCTCCCTGGGGCTGGAGAATCCAAGGTGTACACCCTTTGCCCCGCTTCTACCCAGGTCCTCTCTGTAAGACATCTTCAGCAGGAGAGCTGCCCAAGATTAAATCAGAAGATCAAGGGAAGGCCCTTTGTTCCTCATCTCCAGTCAGTTCTTTCTACACAGATCCAGGATGCTGAACTTCCACCTCCTGTCCTAGAAGTAATATGAGGTAGACAACTGCAGGTGGCCCAAGGAGGTCCATTCTGGGATGGGCGCTAGTATGCTCCCCACGTTTGCTGTGGTGGAAGGAAAGGATGACAGCCTCTTGCCAGCCCTGCTCTTGCTAACAGGCAACCAATACAGTCATTTCTGACTTTCCAGACGATGAACATATGCTAGATAACTTTCACATCATTTATCCCTAAAACACTCCATTTTGGTTCAATCAAAAAGTCATACAGACCTATATTTATTCCAAAAACTGGGAATTTTTCCAGAAGCTTGGACTGGATAATTTAAGGAAAATCCCAGTGAAGTCTTAATATGATAAGCAAAGATGTTTCTTTTCCCAAAAGAATAAAATAAAATAAAAGCCTAATATAGTCAAAAAAAAAAAAAGACATCTCTAATTCAAGCATTTCAATTTGGAAAGAAATTTCAAAATTACCTAGAAATTTAAATTAGATATTATAGACCAATTTATTCAGAGGTTCTCTATTCTATCAACTCACAGAAGCTGTCCCTCCCCCAAAAAGAAAAATTTATTTTTATTTTTAAATTTATACCAGTTTTAACCAACAGCAAATAGGGTGATATCTCTAAACTCATACTCCTGGGTGTATGGTCAGGGAAGAGGAATAAAACACAAAGTGATAAATCAAACACCTGGGCTAATCAATAAACATTTTCTAAGAAACATTTAGTAAGACCAAAACCCCAAAATGTCTAGAATAGTATCAAACAGTCTCAAAATGAAATCCAAGGAACAGATTGTCACCCTGGAAACAAAATTATTTGAAAAAAACAAATAAATATAAACCCACTACCAAAGTAACCTATAGTCCTCATTATGCATATGGGTTAAACAGCTTTCTTTGAGACTTTTGCCATATTTCATATGGAACAGTTACTGCACATGTTTACTATGAATTACGACCATCGCCATCACATTTTAGGCCACATCTATAAATAAACCGCTGCTCTCATTCCAGCGTCCTTTAGAGAACACCCATAATCAGTTCATTCCCTCTGTGGACGTGCCTCAACTGTGAAACAGACGGCGCACCAAGTTTTCTGTTCACAAAACACTGGCCGTTTCACTACAACACAAGCTCTCGCTCGTGAAAGCCCCAAGGACTAGGTGCCCTCTCAGAAAAAACAGACCAGGCAATGACCTGGTCTTCTACTCACACGTCAGGCAGACCAGCATGGTGCGCACGGACAGGTCTATCAGCAGCTCACAGTGCTCGGGCACACGGGCCACGAAGAAGGGGACGATGATCTCGGCCGGAACGTAGAACTGGAGGGCGTAGGTGAAGAAGATGCCGATGGAGTAGAGCAGCTTAACCGACTGGTAGAGCCTGCAGATAGAGCCGAGACACAATCAGAGCCACTCCATGCGCTCATATACCAGCAGTCAGAGTGCAAAATGGTCCGGTGGCAATTTGGCTATATGTATCCAAGTTACAAACACATGTGTCCTTTGGACTGAGCCACTTTGGGTCTAGGGATTTATGTTGCTACAGGGGTAGGGGAATAGCTCAGTGGTAGTAAGCATGCTGGAGGTCCCAGGTTCAATCCCCAGTACCACCATTTAAAGAAAAAAATTTTTTAAGGTCACTGCAGCATCATTTAAGTCTTAAAGACTAAGAGTTTAAATTTTAATCAGTGGGGAACTGGCTAAATAAATTACAGCACTCCCATACAGCTGTTAAAAAGGAAGAGACAGAATTCCAGGTACTAATACAGAACTAGCTCCATAAAATGCGATGAAAAGAAAAAACCATGAAGCAGAATAGTGTCAATAGTGCGCTACCAACTGTCCAAGAAAGAAAACAGAGGGAAAAACACTCTCCCTCATACACACACATGCATGTGACATTCTTACATACATCAAATCTCTCCAGTAGGAAACACAAAAAAATGGTAATATGGTTGCCTCTGAAGTGGAAAACTGTAGAACTGGGAACCTGGAGAGGCAAGTGGAAACTTCACATTTCTAGTATGCCTTTTTTGAACATTTATAAACTTTTCCACAGGTATACATCCTCTCAAAAATAAAAACAATTAAAGATACAAATTAAATGTAACAAGTCTATTTATAATCCTTTCCATCCAAGACATTGCTCCCTAGAATCAGATGGCGACCACACATGACCAAAAGGCAGGACCACAATCCATTTTCCCACTCCACTATGGCCACCATCCTACCACTGCTTCATGGGCAGCTTCTCAGGGAGACTGTCAGTCACCATAGGATAGCTCTGTCTTATCCCAGGCCTAGGACTGTGCAGAGTAGAAAGTAAGTCTGATTGATAAGCACTAGTTTAATGATCTGACATCATCATTAAAGAGAAAGTCACCTTGCTCCTAAGCAAAGCCCTACTTCAAACAAGACTCTTGTACATAATGGAGCGAGAAACAGTAGCCTCCTTCCCTTGTTGGAAATCTATTTAAAAACAGTCATTATATTGTGCATGATGTGCACTGAATTCCTCTGTGGTTGAACTTAATACCCAAAAGATGTTCTAATGCTATAAAGCAGGAAGACACCCTGGGAGAGGCTGAGATTGACAAAAGGTCTTATTTGCTCCAAGGATAGATAATAAAAACTCTTTGCAAAAAAACCAGCAGGTGGCTCTATAATTAAATCCAGTGCAGCACTAAAGCCTCCTGGAGTGCTGGGAAGTCTGGAATCAGGATAGTCACCTGATGGGACGGCCAAATAAGCCTCATCTGATTGGAGGCAGAAAGATTAGGGCAGCTGGGTTTGGAATATCAGAGGAAAGATGACAGATGCTCAGCTGTGGCTTCAGATTATGTGGACTGCTTCTGCTTCTCCTCATCTATTTATCTCCAGTTATGCCGAGCTACCACCTGATTCTTCTCTCTTGAAAGGTCAGGGACATTGGGAAATTTAAAAGCAGACATCAAAAGAATATGAAAACAAATATACGTACGTTCATGTATGACTGAAGTATTATGCTGTACACCAGAAATTGACACAACATTGTAAACTAACTGTGTTTCAATAAAAAATATATATTAAAAAATAAAAATAAAATAAAAGCAGCCATCAGAGGGAAAGAGAAAGACTTTCTGAAAACAATGGCCCATTTCAGGCTACTGTCTGGCTGGCTAAACAACAAACCTAGTTAGTTCCCAGAGCCCGGTGGAATAGGGTGTCCTGTGCTAAGTACTGATACTACTGAAAAACCATTTTTCTCAATTTTCTCAATCTGTCCTTGCACAATGCCTCACAGATCAGAGCTGTAAAACACACACAGGCAGGTCAAGCAGGCCAGCCTGAAAGGTTACGGTGATCCCCAGGGCACTTGACAAGCTTCTCAGCATCTGCTCACAGACGCTCTCTGCAATGAAGTTCTAATCTTCCGAACAGAACTGCTAGGACACCTCCTCTGACAACCACCATTTTAGGAAGCATTTAAGTATGTCGAGGTGTCTCCCTACAATACAGCAACCAAGACTTAGGGAAAGTGAGATGCAAAAGGGCTCCTGACCCACCCTGGCCCACGGTGAGAAGCTCCACCTGCACATGGAGTGGATGACAGCCAAGGAACAGACACAGCGGAAGCTGGGAACCAGGACGGTTTGTCCTCCTCTCTGCCCATCTATTTGGAATGATTCAAGGTCAGTGGACTACTCACTTGGCCTCTGTAGGCTCAGATCTCCAGGGAGAAATGGCATATTAGTCAGCTGATCAACCAACCCACAGAGCATAGTCTCCACTGGAACGACTCATCCCAACAAAGCATCAAGCTCAGGGCAGCATCCTACTTCTCCATCGTAGCAGCACATATTACAAAGCTCACGCATGTCCTGTGATCTTCATGACACTCCTGGCAAGAAGAAATGACTGTTCCTGGTTCCCCGGAAGGGGGAATTGAGGCAGTGAGGAGCTGTGATTTGTACAAGGCCACAGAGCAGGGACATGGCAAGATCACCTCTATCCTGTGCCCAGTGACTTCCTGAAAAACCTCTCCTCATTTATAAATGCTCAGTCTCACTGCTTAGTCTCCTGTCATTCAAAAATCTTCTACTAGGTTTTGATCGTGGAGAACTAGATGTCTGCTGCCCTCAGAGCTTACAGCGTGGAGAAATCACAGTACAGGTAAACATTCAACTACAACAGAATGGAATAAGAATTAGGACAGGATCCTAACGGGATCCCATGGGAGCAGAGAGAAGCAATAGCCTAGGCTTGAAGTTGCAGCTGGTCAGTGAGACATCAGAGAAGTTTCTCAAACAGAGGCTAAGCCTTCCGGCTGAGCAGGAATTAGGTGGGGGTGGGGCTAAAGCCTGAGCGGCCCTGACTGCATAGAAGAGTTTTGTCTTTATCATAAGAGCAAAGGGAAGCCTTTGAGCCTTCTCAAGGAGGAAGCATGTGACTGGACTGAGTGTTAGATGGCTCACACGGGTAATGGAGGAGAACAGATTTTGAGAGAGAGTCAGACTCGGGCAGGGAGACCAGCCAAAAGGCTTTTTGGGCAGCCAGGGAGGGACGGTGCTGGGCTGGGGGCTGGTGGCCAGACTGGGCTAAAGTGAAGCTGACTAATTTAAGAAATAAGGAAGAGGGAACATACACATGCTGACCCTCACTAATTTTTTGAAAAAAATCCGGCGCTCCCAGGCTTCCATCCCCCCCCACATACCAACAGTTGGGCAGGTTGAGAGTTATGCTGCCTTGGATATTTGCTCCAAATTGCAGGTACCCCAGACTCCCCAGGCTGATGTACAGGGCCATGACAATAGCCATTCCCACATAGAGGATGAGTGAAAATTTCCGGGGATCCTTCATTTTGTTTTCAAGGGGCAGAACCTAGGAGAGTAGTGAGAGAGGAGAAAGCACAGAATGAAGCAGTGTTAAAGGCCAAAACAAAACAACACATAATATTCTCAGAAGAAGAGTAACTACGCTATCCCCGGAATTCCCCCAAAGGCATTGTCACGTCCTTTACAAGACAGACAAATGAAAGCTGTTTCATCAGAAGTTATGCTCGCCAAGTTGAGCTGGAGGAGACCTGGAGCCCACTGTCTAAGCCAGGAAGTTCTAGGAAGTAAGAGTGGGTAGGCCTGGAACCTGGGTCCTGGCGCAGGCCGGCTCTCTGCCTCCTGCTAGGAGATCCCTGTGGACTGGGAGTGCTCTTTGTCCCTCGAGTACAGATCGTGCCCACCTGGCCCAATGGGGAAGAGAGGCTGGTGTTGGCACAGCCAGCTGTACCTCACCTGAGACTACAGCTCTGCTAACCTGTCCCAAGAATGCAAAATATAGGTCATGGAAAACTGCCACTCCAGTTCCCAGAAACTGCTTCCTTACCTCACAAAGGGTGGGCACTAGCAATGACAAGTTAAACCTCCAAGTTAGAGAAACTGAGGTGCTGGGGGTGGCATGACTTAATAGAGGATCTTGGAGACTGAGAATTTTTGAGATGTATAACAAAACCCTGTTTCCAGACTCCTAATTCAAACCACTGACCCTTGGGGCCTCCATCCTCTCAGCAGAGGACTTTAACATTACCTGAAGCCAAGGAAAGGCACCTTATGAAGGCTGGGTGATATAGGGAATGGGAAAATAGCAGGTGTGAGTATGGCAATCTTCGTGATCTACTGTCAACTGCATCTGGCTGGGCTGATGAGGTAAAGCAACTCAGGCCCATGCCTAACTGTACCACCAACCGTCTTTGACCTTGTCATCATGCACGTTTTCCTTGAGGGCCTGTGACCATGAGGCAGAGTGGGCCTGAGGGTCTGAGCCAGACACATCTGGAAGATGGCAGACACCACCTGCTGCAGGCCTGGGGCTCTAGGGGGCATCATGGCTCTGTATCTCCAACTGGCCCACAGCATCCCCCCACCAGCTCAAGGGGCTCAAGCTTAAGCGGATCCACATCCACTGAGAAACAGTTTCTAAGCTTTCCTCCAGTTTCCTTCTATGCAGTCTCGGGAGCCAGAAGGTAGGACACTCATCTCCTCCAGGCCGGCCAGCCCAGGCCAGGGGTGCAAACACAGAGACAGAAAGTGAACCCACAGTGAGCCCAGCACTTTTCCCAGACTCGATGCAACAGCCCTCAGATCCAAACCAAGAGTCAAGACAGCAGTGTCTACATTGTGAAAAGAGAAAACATGGACAAATCTTGAAGTAACAGATAATGACAATTACAGAGTGACTCTGTGTCCAAGCCTCACCTAATGAAATGAAGCAAAGAACACTCTCTACCCTGTGCTGTTAGGGAAAACTGATCAATCCAGTACAATGCTTCTGAAGAACCCAGGGTCCCGGGAATCTTCCTAAACTTATTCAGCCTCTTTCCAGTCCCGAGGGCTCGGGCCCTCTTTCTCCTGCTGTAACACTGGGCCCTTCAGGCCTCCGCCCCAGCAGCAGGGAAAACATGTATGTTTGTGAATCGAGGTGAGACATTCTTCCCGGGCAATGGGAAGGCCTAAGAAACAACACAGGGGAAGTTTTAAAACCTCAGGACAATCACATCCACACAATCACTCAAAAAGCCTCCCCTGTGGTGCCAGAGCCTTAACACGTCCCATTGACACCACTAGGGCAGTTCCTCAGATTCTGACAAAAAATGTCCAGCTTCTAGGTTCTCTTAAAAGTGTACAAGGTGACAGGGAAATCAAATGGGGACAAAAAGATATTCCAGGAAAGGAGAAGTATCTTCCCATTTCCTAAGACCTTGGCCAATAGAGCTCATCATTTTCTTCAGAGAAGAATTCTAGACCTTTGTGATGAAAAACTCAAACAAAAATCAAACTAGGTACATCGAGTTACCAGATTTCTCTCTTTAGGAGAAGAATTTGGTGGAATCACAGTAACAGTGGTGGGGAAGCTGAGCTATGAGTGAAGGCTACTCATTTGCACAAGGAAAATACTGCACACCAATGTTCCAGGGCACAGAAATTATTCATACATGTATTGACTGTGCAATAAAATCAACAGTATTATTGATAAAAATAAAAATTATTAATGCTCATCATGTGTCAGGGGCCATGCAAAGCACTTTACACACACATCTCATTTAATCCTAACAACTGCTCAACACTGAACTCACTTTTCAGAAGCAAACAATGAAGGCGCTCTGAGAAGTTAGGTCCTTGCACAAGGTCACACAGCACCTCTTTGGCAGAGCTGGGCCTCACCTCAAGTCAGTCTGACTCTAGACCTTGCATTCCCAATTGCCACGCATTAATGCTGACTGCACACACAGGACATGAGTGTACATAAGAGGGGGCTTGAAGGGAAACATTCTCAAATAACATACAACTTTCAAAGGTGGAGCTAGGAAACTTGAATGGAATCCCTGAAATGCTGTTCATTAACTGTCCAGTAAGTCTCAGAAGATAATTTCGAATAGCATTTCTTCAGCATTCCTTAAAGCAGGCCTCAAGGACACCGAGAGCACCAGAGAATCCCAATGCAACTCTTACCATCCCAATGCCTTCAAATGCAAAAATGGCTGTGCCAAAGAACAGAGGGTAGGTCTTCCAGGATGCCACCAAGGGGAGGTGGGTAGGGTCTGGGATCTCCTGAAAGAGAGAAAATAAAACAGAGCAAAGGCTATACGCAGATACATGATTTCAACCCCAACCTCAGGTCAAACTTTTCCTAAATCCAAGATTCTCTGAAGGGAGAAAATCTAACACCTGACAGATGATTTGGGGTCATTTATAGCTTTTCTATTTTGTTCTTCAAGCTGAGAAAACTCTACTTGCTTTGGGGAAAGACCAGCCCAACGTACCATTAAAAACTCAAATGTTGGAGCCAGAAAAAAAAGGAATCATATTCTTTCACTAGGTAATCCCATCCCCAGAAGTATAATTCGAGTAGAAAAAAATGATCAAAATACAAAAAAAGTTGAGGAAAGCTTTTTAACAGTAAGTAATAGCAACCTAAATGTTCCCAAATAACTGAACAGTTGGTTTACTGCACGTCAACTATACCACAGAATACTATACACTATTAAAAAGTAAAACAAGAGATAACTAAGTAGTACATGAAAAACTGCTTACAAAATAATGGCGAGAAAAATGTTTTTAAAATTTACATATTCACCATAACATAACATAAACACTGCACACAAATAAAGCTGGAAGAGAAGATGGTAGATTTTTAGATGAGCTCTTTCTCTTTTTTTCTCTATTGTTCTTTCTTTTTTGAAAAAATTCTGTGAATCAATTTGAGCACTTGGGAAATATTATCAATAGGCAAACAACAGGAGTTACTGGAACATTTGGGGAAAAACAGCAAAAACAGCATTTTAAAAAGTAGGTAAATAAAAACCTATTTATATAAATAAAGTAAAAGACAATTGTTAACTGCAAGTACAATGTAAGGATGAACCTACCCAGCAGACCAATGAGCAGCAGTCCCCAGTGATGGATGGCACTGAAGGAACGGGATTCAGAGCAGGCAGAAGCTGCCTTCCTTTTAGAATCTGACTTTTTATGCCATGTGCATACATTGCTTAGCTTAAAATTTAAAACGACTTTAAAACTTCCTTTTACAATATTTTTTTAAAAAATGGGGGGGAGGGCACATAATTAAGTTTATTTATTTATTTAATGGAGGTACTGGGGATTGAACCCAAGACCTCTTGCATGCTAGGCATGCACTCTACCACTGAGCAAAAACATACCCTCCCCACCTTTTACAATACTTTAAAATTAACTTAGCTATAGAGGTATCCAGAGAAATACAGGACATGTTCTAACAGTGTGACAGAATAATATCAGAGAACAAAAAGAGATCTAATATTAATCTCTGTAATAGGTTTCTCTTTGAAAGATTTTAAAGCAATTATACTATAGTTTCCCTAAAATATAACTACTTTTTAAAATACTTCTTTTCTGAGCCCCTGCTAAGAAATCAGTTAGATCTCTTTATAAGAAGCACTTCAGTTCCTTGAATGAAGACAGCTAATAAATATTTTTGTTCTTCAATGAAACAAGAGGCTGAGATTGCCCTGTAATTATTCCTGAGTCACGGTGTAACTTAAGTTCCTGGAAACTGGAGCAATCTGTTGGTTAGTGGCTGACTACTGTCCAGGTTCATACAACAGATCAAGCTATGGTATCAGAGAAGGAATTTTAAAATACATGTGTGGGGATACCAATGTGGCTGAGACCAACAAAATGAGTTCATAATTCTACATACTTAATGACTGCTGTTGATTTATACCCCAACCAACTAAACAGAAAACGTTTAATTTGCAAAGAAACATACAAATTAAAATCAGCTCACTTTCAACATGTTATCTCCTCATGCTGACAACACTATTTTATAATAATAACAGCTTTTTGAAAAACTGCTGTTAAATGTACATAAGGACTGCCAGATGTACTCCAATTTTGGAAATGTTATAACTGTGAAAAAACGCATCTCAGAACTGAAGATATACAGTGATAAAGCATTTCCTGGGAGCCCCTGTGGGCAAGGTACTCTGCTTGGCACTGCGCCGTTTATCATGCACATGACAAAGAGACCTGATGGGGGGAAGACATCATTCGGCTTCCCAGGATGGCGTGGGGCAGAGGAGCAACAGCACTGGCCACAGACATGTGCATGATCAGGTGAAAATTCAGCAACTATGGACAGCAGAGGAATTGTCAAAGTGAAGAGGGCAAAATACCAAGATGGGACAGTAACAGCAGCAACCAAAACAACCCAGAGGGAATCTTTATCTCTGCACCAGGTCAAAATGAAGCTGCTGGACCCACTGCCAAACCACCATTCTCCCATCCTGTTCCCTGGGCAGACGGCACTACTGGATCACAAGACACCTTCAGGCTGAGCCCAGAGGCGGGCTCAGAGTCACTCTCAGGAAATAAGCAGGGCTGCCTCGGCCCAAAGCGCAGGTTGTACTAGTTGTAGACAACGCTTTAGACAGATACCCACTGGGACTGAGATGCTATGGAACCCGCACTCCCATCCCAGCCCTCTGATCACAGTAACCACTGCAGTCCCATTGCCTGCGGTGGTTTAAATTTAATGTGGTGTCTCCGTGAGGTCATCTCACTCCCTTGTCCTTCATGTTCACTGCAGTGTGTCCTGGGCACCGTCTGAGGTCTCTAATTACACATAATTACCTTTCCTTGTTTTAACTTAATTGGCCAGAGAAAGAAACTCTTCTGGAAATAGTCATTCATGTGTTCATAGTTCCTCTTTTCAGTTCCATAAAAAACAGGACATGGACAGCTGTCTAATTTATGTTTTAGAAAATAGTTCTGCAGGAGAAGACAAAGTATCTGCCACCAACTTGACTTACCAGGAAAAGGGAAAAACAGTAAATGCTCACTGACTACAATTTTAATCTAAGTCCATTACGTCATTTTCTCAGTACAGGAAGTCCTTGTGTTTTATAACCCACTGTTTTCCTAGAAACTACACCAGTAGCACACTAGGTTACACAAGGTAACCAGGTCACTGTTAAGCAGACTGTGAAAATGAAGTAATGTTTACCTGTCAGACTGACCCAAATTAAAAAGATTGATAGATCCAGCGCTGGCTAGCATGGGTCGCTTATGCACCGTGGAAAGGAGTCAATAAGAAATTGGTAAATAGCTTTTGGAAAAACCAAGTTGGCGATATAAAAAATTCCAAAGTGCATACTCTTGAGCAATTGTACCTTTAGCACCTCTAGATGTAAATCTTGGAGAAGTATTTATACATGTCCACAAAAAGAAAGGCATAAGAGTGTTCACTGTCATAATATTGAAATAATACTAAAGATTATAAATGACTAGACAGGCCACTGACTGGGGACTGGTTAAATTAACTATGAAACTATGGGATGTCTATTCTCTGAGTTACCACTTAGTAACTTTAAAAAATGAGATAAAACCAGGTATATCAACATGGAAAGCTCTTTGAGGCACTGTGGAGGGAAAAAAAAAAAAAGCAAAGTAGATGAACACTACATAAAGTACTTTTTTTAAATTATGTTAGAAAAACATGAGACAATAAATGTTTGTCTTATATATTTCTCTACATTGGAATACAGTGTGTAAATGCTTTCACAGAACCTAGAAACACACACAGTGGGTCCGGGAGAGGAGGAGACTCAGGGTGGGGATGTGATGTTCAACCGGTTTGTATTTTAATGAGTATGTATTGATGAGTTATTTGGGGAATTAAATTTAAAAACCTTTTTTTAAAAGTTACTCTTATATTCACCTGCTTTCACTCTTCCTTTTCTCAAGCCTTGGCAAAACGTCCACAAATAATGACAGTGTTTAAGGGCACATTTTTCTTAGCCTGATCTTCTACCCATTTATATATAGATGTCCTCCCTTGCTCTGCCCCAAAGACCTGCCCACATGGGATATGCAGGGGGGAGTAATAACTGAATTTATAATTTTGACAAATAAATATAAAACTGGAGTGAAAAATAATAATAAAATAATATTTCTTATTATAATATATAAAGATGACTCATTTACTGTAAGAATACAAATTTTATAATTTAAGAGTCATCTTCAAATTTTTTCTCTATTACTCAATCTTATACAATGATCACGTATTAACTAACTGGGAAAAAGGCTAAACCAGTTATCTCAATGGGGGTGATGTTGTCCTCCAGAGACGTTTGGTTGTCACAACTTGGGGAGTGGTTGCTACTGGAGTCTAGTGAATAGAGATCAAGATGCTGTGAAATGTCCCATGATGCACAGGATAGCCCCCACAACAAAGAATTATCTGGCCCAAATGTTACAGTGCCCAAGTTGAGAACCCCTAATCTGAGAATACCACTCATAAGTAACATATCCTTATTTATGTTCCACTTACTTGTTTCTCTGATTATCTGACAGGCAGAGGGGGAGCCTGGGCTCGTACCTGAACAATGAACTGGTAGATCATGACCAGGCTGACCAGCATGGAGATGTTGGCCAACAGGGAGAAGATGGAGAGCACTCGGAGGTTCCTGACGAATACCAGCAGCACCAGGAAGGGCAGGAAGGTGAGCATGTAGAGTCGCGAGTCCATGGTGGGTGTCAGAATCACTGTCTCGTTGCTGTGGCAGTTGTTGGTGGTCACATTGGCTGCTTCTATCACCTAGAATGAGGGGAAGAAAAGAAACAGAGAAAGCCTCTCAAATAACAAAGGCCAGTGGACCTCCCCTGAGAAGGGGTTCTTTACTAAAGGCTAGTGCGTGAACTAGGCCAGATAGAAATTAGTGGTTGGTGAACCATCTTTGGAGATCTTCATAACTATCATTAGCAACCTAATTGTCTGAGCTGCATTTGATCATATCTTACCTAAAGACAGGGGGACTGCAAGACATCTAGAGGTTTACTCCATGCCCTGGGTCTTAGATAAAATCAAACAAACAGCACTGTTTCATGAAAAGTGTTAAGATCTCTTACTTTGACCAAAACCTGGCCTGGAAGGGATCCTAAACAGAAAGTTCACTCATCTCTTGCCATCTTTTCTTCATTTTCACCAGGGCCCTACCTGTTTAAAGTTGTCAGCCAGAAAGACAAAATAGACACAGCAGAATCCCAGCTGCGTGACGATCAGGAAGAAGTCCACAATGTGTCTGCAGGTGGGGAAGGAAGGAAGACAAAGATGGTAACAATAAAAAGCAAGAATTAAAAAAAAAAAGGCAAGACTCCCAGAGAGATGGGTGTTAGAACAGTGCTTCCTCCCAAGTCATCACAGACTCTTCCCATCAGGTGACAAGGATAAGTGTGCCCTGGTAAGAGGAGAAAGTGTGCCACGTGCCACTGGTCTAGAGCCTTGGAGGAAGGTGAGGGAGGCACCATCTGCATGGTTCCTGAGGTCCCTTTCCTGGCTTCTCATCTGGAATGCGACACGGGGTCAGCCAGTCCTGAGACTGAACTGGCTGGAGCAGTGCACACACACCAGGACCACTGCTCAGTCCCTTGGCTTCCCCCTCCCCATGGCCCACTTGTCCCATCTCACATTGTTTGTTCTAAAGCTCCAGGGAGCACTCAGCATAAAAGCCCAAGAAGTGGACCCCTTCACAGTCTCTTCCTATAACCTGGATCCAAGAACCACCCGATTCTCACATAAGGACACAGAAATAGATGTACCAAAACAGGCTGCTGGTTGAAGCACTGTTACAACAACAACAACTGGCGACAACCTAAGGGGCCATCAAAAGGAAAATGATTAAGTTATAGACCATTCTGAGATGGAACAGTATGCAGCAGATAAAAAGAACTTGTTAAAACTACGTGTGCTGATAAAAAAAAGTCTAAGACTTTTAAGGGAGAAAAAAACAAGTTTCCAATCAGTACGCAGTATGGTCATTAGAGTAAAAATGGTACGAATGTGTATATGTTTGCACATACATAGAAAACTCCAAAATAACACCCACGCAACTGTGACCAGCATATACTTTTTCTCTTCACTTTTTGTCCTTCTAGCTCGTTCCAAGAAAATTTTTTTTTTACCAGGAGCACATATTAGTTTTATTACAGGAAGGGAGGAAAATAGAGAGGGATTAAGGAAGGAAGGAGGAGGAAGAGAGGAAGGAGAGAGGGAGGAGAGAAGAGAAGAAAGAATTAACCACCAACCAACCAACAGTGGTCACTTGGCAATCTGGCTGCTCCCAGTCACATAAAATGATTTTGCTGAAAAAATTACATAAACCTGCATCACAGGAGGAAGCTGTGTGTGAAGGTAAAAGTCTCCCTAGGACCACTAAAATGAGTTTTTCTGGAGAATGTAATTTTAAAGTGGTTCAATTAAAAAAAAAAGGATTCGGCCTTTTTTTATGATGTTGTCAGTTCTCTACATTTAAATACACCATTTCCTCAAACAGGAAACAAAACAGTAGACTATTTCTCTCCAGGCAACGCCATAAGGAGAAATTTTCAAACACCTCCCACTCCACCTCCTGAAATGTCTCTTTCCCTACCAAACCCATCTGTTCTAGCTCACCTCACGTCCTCCATGAAGCCTTCCCTCTCTTGCCCAGTGCCCTGCCCTGAAAGCATTATCCTGTGCCCTTCTCATTCGCCAGCCAGTGTCAAGAGTCTATGGCTCCTCCACCTCAGCGCCCCTGGAATGTATTTCTGACTCACGACATCCTCTCTCTACTGGGATATCCTATTCCTGATCTCTTGTTCTCAAGCTTCCCGCACATCTCTCTCCTTTGGAGACTACAAGACCCTGGAGAGACAGAACATATAATTTACCTAGTGGAAACCCCTTCTTTCTATACCAAGAATTGTTTTCTGCCACTTAAGAGAGAGTGCTTAAATATATCTGTTGAACAAATGATGAGATGAAATAATCACTGGTCACAGGCTTTCAAAGCTGGCACAGCTCTTTGAGATCTTCCAGGCCAGGCCCTATGTTTCACCAGCGAGGAAACTGAGGCCCAGGCAGGGGGGTCACACAGCCCAAGGTCAAACAGATTACTACTGGCAGAGCTGAGTTAGAACTCAAGTGCACAGTCCCAAACAATGCCTTTCCCTCTACTGACACCATCTCCCACACCTCACCCCCCTATCTGAAGGGAGGCCACAGCCACAAAGACACTGGAAACAATGTACCTTCCCCAGTGCGCGTGGTTTCGGAGCCAGGAGCTGGGGCTGGCTTCCAGGCCGTACATCACTGTATCGCCGTAGTCCACAAAGGGCTTGTTCAGTCTGAGGGAATGGGAGGGAAAGGAAGGGCAGAGGGCAGGGGTCAGACAATGACAATGACAATGACAGAACAAACACAGCTCACAGCGACTGGGGCCAGTTCCCCACCTGCCACTCTGATGTACCACTAAGTCCTGTATCAAATGCTTTCAAGGAGCAGAAGTGTTAAGTCAACAGGACAGTTACTTTCCTTAAACAATTAACAACCACCTGGGAAATCATTTCAATGGGTAAATATTATAAAACACATAAAATGAGAATGTGATCTCTGTCCACAGGACCTAAGAATGACAGATGACAACAAGCTAAAAAAGGACACAAAAATCACCAGGGAAAAGCAGTGCTATGGTAACCAGCAGCCGCCTTCAGCTGGCACAGACAGCCTAGACTGATCGCTTATGTGCTCACTTTCAGTGGTGGTAACGGGAACCCAAAGGGCAATCCGTCACTCAAGAAGGGCTCTCACCTGTGGCAGAAGTGGTGGGCACACTTCACCAGGATACCCATGCAGTGCACAGCCACGAGGCCCATCACCAGCAGGCTGAGGGGACCGATCTGGGATAGGTGTTTGCAGGCAAGAAAAGGAGACATGCAGGTAGAATTAGAACTGGATTTGCAAATGATCAAAATGCTACTCAGGCACCTTGCAATGACAGAACTTTCAGGACAGCATTTGAGAGAAAAGTGTGCCCACAGAGATTAGCTTTGTAGGATGGGCACCATCTGAATCTGAGTGTGCCTTCTAGAGAATTAATCTCCAGGAGAAGAAGGACACAAGATAAGGCTGTTCCAAGACTGTTGCCAATCAGAATAGAAGGCTCCTGTGACTGTCCAGGAAGAACAGACAGGCTAAGGGGTGGTGGGAGAGGGAAAAGATCTCTTGAGAGCAATGCCACAGACAGCCCTTAGCTAAGGACAATCCCCATCTCTGAGCTATCTCCAACTCTTAAAGAAACCAGAATGGGTTTTGACAGGTGGTCTACAGGAGGGTGAATCAATTAAAAAAAAAAAAGATTCTCAGAATTGGCCATCTAAGGGCATGGAAGGACTGTGTAGAAAATGGACAGAATTCTGTTACTAATTCATTAGTTAATTTTATTGCTAGAAACTGCAAGAAACTTTTTTATCCAAAATGTGAGCTATTTATTTATTTATTTACTTACTTACTTATTATTATTATCTTGTTACTGGAGGTACTGGGGACTGAACCTAGGACCACATGCATACTAAGCATGCACTCTACCACTGAGCTATACCCTCCCCCACTTCCCAGAAGCACTTTATATGCATCCTCCTTGCCACAAAGTAAGCTCCAACAGGAATCTCTGCCTGTTTTATTCACCGATAATATTCTTACAGCCTTAGAACAGTGTTTGGCACACAAAATATCCTCAATAAATGTCTTAAGATGAATGAACATCTGAACTTTACTTTTTCTCAACTGAATTTGAAAAAGAAAAGTTTCCCATTTTAAAACATTTTACATGAAGTCAAGTTTTTTAAAAAGGCCCCACCATCTCCTAAAACTTGTCACAATACTTCCCTGTACCGACGCACACCCTTACCAAGATGCCTGCATTTTTCACTGCCAGAGGCAGCCCCAAGAGTCCTGTGCCAATGTTGCCTTTTAACAGGTGGATCAGGGTCTGGAACCATCTGAAGTGGGAAGAAAGTAGACAAGGGCAGGTTAACAATAATGACAGCTAATGTTTACTGAGCACTCAGCATTGTGAGAAGTGCCCTCATGAATTATCTCATTCAATTTTCAAGATAATCTTATGAGACAGATATTATCTTCATCTTATGCGCAAAGAAGCAACTTGCTCAAGGTCACACACCAGAGTGTGACCCTGGATTCAAACCCAGGCTGTCCAGCCCCCAGCCCACTCTCCTAGCAATTGGGCTATATGCTCTGTTCCCTGAGGCATCTCCGTGGGTCCACCTCTCCTGGAGATCAGACCAGAGGGACAGCGGGGGTTTAACTAGGCATCTGCCCTTTCCCAGTATCTCTGGGCCTGGTTCTCACCCCAGAGCTGTCCACCGTAAAGACTCAGATCCAGAAGTGCAACAGAGGGTGCCAAGCAGAACTGTGAAGGGCAGACACTGTTGTGAGAAAAGAACAGAGGAAGACAAAATAGAAGCCCCAAACTCTTAACAGAAAGTTTTATGCAAAGTGAACAGAGTTGTATGGTCCCACAACAGGTCAGTCCCTAAAGTACTCCGTATTTACCTTATTTTATTTTTATTGAATTTTAGTTAGTTCACAATGTGTCAATTTCTGGTGCACAGCACAATGTTTCAGTCATACATATATATACATATATTTGTTTTCATATTCTTTTTCATTATAGATTACTACAAGATATGTACTCTGTATTAAAAAAAAAAAAGTCAAATGCCATAGAGTCCTAGGGCTGGAGAAGCCCTTTTCAGAGAGTCAGCTAGTTTATCCTTTTGCCTCAAGGACAGGTTTTTCCCTCACCTATTGTACAGAATGTCCACCTCAAGCTGCAATTGTAAAGCCTTTCACGTGCTCTCATTACTTTTTCACTCAACAAATCCCAACTCTCTTATGTAAAACATCGTGTTAATACAGTGATAGAAATAAGCATGAATCAGATATGGACCCCGGTCTCTAGAAACTAATAATGTCTCCAGGAAAATAAGGCAGGCACACTAACAACCACCCAAGGCAGAAAGATCCCTGTCCTAGGAAGAGCCCAGGGACAGTGCACAGGGAGGGGGAGGCAGATGAGGGTTCACCGCGAGGAGACACCTGGGCTGAGCCTAGCAGGACCACCAGAGCTGTGAGTGTGCTGACGTGGAAGAAGGAAGGGCCTGGGGAGCACGCGCCCAGAGAGGCGTGGGCACCAATACATGGGAGCGTGTTAGCTTCATGGGCACGAGGGCAGGGTGAGGGTGGGCATCCCACAGAGAATGGGAACTCCTCATAGCTCTGATACCAGGGACCTCATCTTCAGCATTTTCTATCCTTTGTTACCTCTAGCAGGATATGAAAAAGATCAAACATGGTATCACGTTGCCCTAAATCACAGACCTACTCAGGATTTGGCCCCTGGAAATGTCTAGAAATTCTCGTGCACAAATAACCTAAATACCTCCTGAGTGATGCCTCCATATATTTATTCAGATCTGCAATTCAGCAGAAACTGAAAGCAAATACTGTGTTAACTCATAAAGACCATAATAAATAAGACCCATCTACACTCTCTGGAAAGGAATTTTACTTTTGGTGACCTTTCTCCCTCCACCTCCAGGAAGAAAAGCTCTTGACCTTCTACTGTTCCCAAGCTTTTCAGGCAAGGTCAAGAAAACTGCTTTAAGTCTGAATAAGAAGAGGTAAGTGCTCTCCTGGACTAAACTAAGGGAATAGCCCAAGGACTACAAGGGTCCAGGGGCAACTCCTTCACTATCAGTGGCCAGTGACCAGGAGCTTACTGGGTGATGGACCAATCAAATTTCCATCTTGGCAAATGTTTAATCCACTTAAGGACAAAGGTAAGCATTGTACCAAACCCAGAGGCCTCCCCAAATGCCTCTGAGCTGGGTTTCGTGGGAGATCAGGTCCCTCTAGCCCTGGCTCTGCCATTAACTCTATTCCCTTCCCTTCTCTGGGTCTGTTGTCTCATCATAGAATAAAGGGACTGGACCAGAACAAACACTTCCGTTCTGAAACAGCAGGATTCTAGGCAATTGACCAAAATTATTCTTTTTAATCAATGGCCATAAGCTGGGATTACCCAAAACCATATGAGTATCACAAAATCAACTCCACGGACTTGTAGAGTCTTAACTACAGGGGGTGGGAGGAAGACGTAAGCCTTGCAGAGCTCTGTCATCTACTGATGCTCTAAGTCAGTAGTTCTTACACTTTTTTGGTCTTAGGACTCCTTTATACACTTACAAATTATTGAAGATCCCAAACAGTTTTTGCTTACATGGATTATATCTGCTTATACATATTATATTATAAGTTAAACCAAAAAATTTAAAACTATTTATCAATTTCAAATAACAATGAACCTACTATATGTTAGTATAAATAATCAGTTTTTAACAAAAAGTAACTCCTTTTTCCAAAAAATGTGTGAGAAGAGGAGCAATATTTTACTTTTTTGTGAACCTCTTTAATGTCTTGTTTGACAGCTGGACGATCTATTTCTGCATTCACTCTGTTGTGATAGGTTGTTTGGGTGCAATTATCTTAAGTAAGTCTGTCCTCATACAGACATGTAGTTAGAACGTATCTCAATAGCCTCTTCAGACAATTGTTACCATTGTTCTTTGATACTACACCAAAACTCGACACAGTAGTTTCTCAGAAGTTAGCTGTAATTTGGAATCTGAACATTTCATACTCTATTTGCACAAAAACCCACTGGTGATCTTGCTCTCTGAGTAGCTCTTTTATCCACAAACAATTTTCTAACATCACACTTCAGTCATCTGGAAGATAATGGTTCCCTGAATTACGTGATCTTCCAAATGCTGAAATGTACATTTCATTGTACAATATCAAAAAAAAATCACATTCACTAATATCATCTCTAATCTCAACAGAAAAGTCTAAGTAGAGGGAAGCTGTCAAGGTCACAGTGCTGGATACAAGGTTGTTTTTCCTCCCTAACTTTGCTTGAAAGCTCACATTTTATTGTGGGCAGCAAATACTGCTGATTATTTTTCTTGATTGACAGTATCATTACTTTCATTTTCAAGAAAATGTCTGGCAAGTACTCAGGTCTGAATAACCTATGGTGTGTTAGTTGTTCAGGAGAAGTATTTCACGTGTACTTCTCATTGTGTCACATAGAATAATAAAAGACCTGTACTGAAGGGTCAAGATTTAACAAAATTAGTTGTGTGACTGCTTCATCAAGGACATGCTTAAGTGAAACCAGCTTATTCTCTGCATATGTTTGGCAATGAAACATACAATGATGACTAGCATAATTTGGTGCTACAGCCTTGATTTACGCTCAGGTGCCAGCAATTTTATCCACCATTGTTTCTGAACTATCAGTGCAAATGTCAACACAGTGAAAAGACAAATGAATCACCTCTTAGTATTGTTAGGAAAAAGGTTTTAACTTTTGGACTTCTTGAAATGGTCTTGGATCCCCCAGAGAATCTGAAGACCATATTTTGCAAATGGCTGCTCCAGATAACCTACAGAAGACCAGTATCAGTCAACTGGCTTCTCAGCCTGCCAGCCTGGGGAAGAAGTATCAAAGCTCAACCACAGGCAGTATAATGCAGCTTAACAGGGCAACAAGAAAACTTTGCCCAAAACAGTAAAAAAACGAGACTGTCATCAAAGAAGTCAACAGCTTGATAACATTAAGTGTTAGGAAATAACCTCACCAAACACGTCATCACGGAAGTGTCTGAGGTTCCTATCCTGTCCCTATCCCTGTTTAGGGATTGTTACTGAGCCCTTAAGCCCTAGAAGAGTCTGGTATGTGCATGTATATACGTTGCTTCTTGTACTTTGTTCCATGTACTTTTTCCATACACTTTGTTCCTTGACAAACTAGATAACACGGTGGGGCAAGTCCCAATAGACAGGAATCCAGCTCAAAAATTTGTCCCTAACACTTCTCACCTATTTTGCTAATTAGGACACCCCAAATCAGCTTATACTTAATCACACACATTTCTACACATAATACTTGTATGGGTCCAGGCCCCAGGAAAGTACTCAGCCAATCCTCCAAGTCCAAACGGAGTACTTTTTTCTGTACCATTTGTGATGGGACTGTGATATCTGCCAACACTTACAGATGGGCTTTTCTGGTCCCTAACTTTGTACCACAACGTCAGGGCAGAATGGACCGACAGAAAAAGTATACCCTGGAGAATGTCCCAAAGCAAACCCAAAGGAAGTATCTTCCAATTGGCAACTTCAAGCAGACAAGGGCAGATAACTTGGGGTTGACTACAGAATAGCTAACAGCCATGCCTTATCTTCAATACATACAAAACCTGTGAGCTACCATCCTGAAGTTCCTAGCTGGCTAGTGTTGAACTTCAGAGGGGTCCCTGTGAAAAATGAAAACCTAGACTCCATGTGACAAACATTGTACAGACAACTTGATCCTTGAGAACAAGAGCGAAAACTGGAAAGGAAACTAGAGAGAGAGGCTTGGAAGAAGTACTCCACAACAGCGAGTGAGACTTCTGAAGGGAAGCTATTGCCTGTCACTGGCTGCATTCACATTCCTTTCCCCTGGGGGAAGCCAATTGGGTAGACAAGGTTAAGAAAAAGACAGAATAGTCCTCACTGCTGCCAATTGTGCTCCAAGCTACTTCTGCCATCAGCTAACACTGCAAGCAATGGGCGATTCTATAAAAGCATGCCACGTGAGGAAGAAGCTATGGAGAATGAATCCTTATGAGCAGAAATCAGCTCGGGGGGGAGAGGAGCTTGTAGTGCGGCAGACCATCTCCTCTAGTTCTATTTCACTTCTTAAGATAGAAGGTCCTGCACCAGGAGAGACTGCAGCCAGAAGGAGCCTCACTTAATAATGAGCTCCAAAAGAAGCTTCCATGGTCTCCTTGGGCAGTCATGGGGGACAGTGTGAGTCAAGGACATAATGGATCTCTCAGTAAGTCATACCCAACCCACAAGGGAACACCGAGAGGGCAATAGCTACACTTGAGTAACAAACAAAATGGCTGCAAAAGACAGTATGCTGGGATCCAGAGAAAATGTCAGAGGTCTGCTGAGTTTCAGAACTGAGCTAGACAACTCAGTGGAGTAGAAAATCTTCACCTGAATCTTTCCATATGAATGGTGAGCACTAGACAGTCAACCTACCTTCATAAGAGGGTCTTAAGTTTTATCTTCTATTTGGAAAAACAGACTGGCAGAGGGGCAAACTCAGCCCAGATAAAACTTGGGATTCAGTGTCCAGGGATAAAACTTAAGCCCTCCTCAAGGCATGCAAAGCAGATCACCTCTTCTTTATCAACCCCTTGAATTTTTTAAGTGCAAGAGAAGTTATTCCTCCCTCTTCCTACTTCTTCCACCAAATGACCCAGCCGTCTGGTGATGGGGACAGAAGTCTGGAGGAGACTTTGCAAAGGCAGCTTCCAGTTGGACTTGGAAGTATCTGAGATTCTAGCACAGATGACCCATGGTTCTAAATTAAGGGAATGTTCAGGCTTTTACTTGGCACAAGCCTTCTGGGACCGACACAGCTGAAATGAACAAAAAATGAGAAACAGAGAGCTCAGACCTCAGCAATGTTACTCACTCGATCTCCTTACATTGTACCTTCATTTGTAAAGTAAGGAATTGATAAAATAGGGGAGCAAAAATAACCCTAAGGGAGACTATGTTACTACAGAATTTGGGATCATGAATCCACCCAGGAGGGCAGATGGAGGGCTACTTACGTTGTGCTGTTGCTTTCCCCGAACCGCTGGTAGGAGCCCGAAGAAGAGAAGTTGTTCAGGGTTTCGGACGGGCTCTCCTCCGGGCTCACATCGGTGGAGCTGTAGTCACGGTAGTCCTCGTTCCGAAGTCTCTGCGTGGACATGGTAGCTGGGGGGACAGGGTCAGTGCTTAGACCTCCAGTGTTTGGGGCCTTTAGCTCCAAGCCTGGGGTGGGATCTGGGGTAGAAACAACCATTGCCACAGTGGCTCAGTGACAGCCGCACTACAGATTAAGCACAATGAGAGTGCCTGATCCAAGAGAAGTGAAAAAGGTACAAAGTACACATGGGCGGGCTGAGCTCACTTGGCTTCTGTCTCCCAACTTTCTCAGACAGTGCCACACTCATAAGTTTCTAAATTTGCCACAGCACACCTAGACAGAGCAAAGGTGAGACACTGCTTGGAAGGGTGGGGGAAGATGCAAACAGGCACTTCTAGGTAGCCTTCCTCGTTCCTTAGGTGGGGATTAAATACCTCTTCCTTTGAGCTAACTTCTTAGACTTTGAACAATAGTGACACTGTATCTACATCCATCTTCCCCAAGAGCAAGCTCTTAGGGGACAGGAACCTGCATATTCCTCACTGCATACTATTTTTCCTCTGCATTTGTTAGAGAAAGAACCTTATGCATTGGAGAAATTCCTTCTGGATCACCCAGTGCTGCTCCAGCACCCCACTAGGTCCCAGAGCCACAAGTGACTTTCTCTTTCTCTCTGCACTGAACACCTGGCCTGTCCTATGCTCTTTGGAGGTTATTATTGATGCTTGTCCCCTCATCCTCACACTCCTTTCTTGTAAGCAGCCTGAATACTCAGGAAGGGCAGCTAAAAGCAGCTCAGAGGAAGACCAGGAACATGAGAAGTGCTTGTCACTGGCCCTTGTCTCAACATTTCCCTTCCACAACCCTTCTTCCTTTTTATTTGTATAGATTTGCTAATTTTTTTTAAGATAGTGAAAAAAGAAATCAGTCCATCCAGTAATAGCACCAAAATCCTTCTGACACTCGGAAGACTGCCTATAAGGGTCTCTCCCCCAGTCTGTGGCTGGATGCCCATCCTGAATCTGATGCGCTATCTCAGACACCTGGTGAGGAGACAGGACCTCCAACAGCCATCGCAACACACTGCTCCGCCCAACACCCAACATTAGCTGCCAGAGAATAGCTTTGTCTCAAATACTCCCAGAGGTCCAGTCCCACGGGACCCATTGGAACCTGGTCCCCATTGGCACCTGACTGATCCAGGAGTGATCTCATTTTCTCTCACCAACTGTTGGAAGAAGGACCCCACATAATCTCACAAGGAAACTGCTTGGCAGAAAGCCAGTAAAGACTCAGAAGTTCCAGAGACCATCCTGCCTAGCCCCACCACCAGAGCTGACTTTGTTAAATATCTAAGAAGGCACTATTTACTCACATGCTGGAGGAAATCAAGGAAGTCATCTAGATGTCGGGCAATTAAACTCAACAGAGGGCCAAGGAAAAAATTTACAAAGTATCTTACTATGAACAGTTGAAAGCTGCTATTCAGGCAAAAGTGATTAAGCTAGTGTCTATGCATGTCAGAAGGCCTGGCTTCTACGGCTGCTTCTGTTACCAGTTTGCTTAGTAATTTGGAACAATTCTCTTTATTTGTGTAGGATCTCAATTTCAAATGATCAAAAAGGCCACGGGTGGGGGGTGTGGTGTACTAAACTGTCTTCCAACAATTCTCCAGCCCTAATATTCCAGGAATCAATTAATGTCTTTCTTTATGCAAACAACAGCTAATTCCCAGTCTCTTCCAACATACCAAAAGCATCTGAGGAGCAGAGCTTTCCAGGTGAATCCTGCATTTTACTGAGGGACAGGGACAGAATACAGGGACTGACAAGTTCCCCAATTCTTCCCCATCGACCAAGAAACCGCTCAGTTGTTTACTTGGTACAGACGCTCAATTTATTTTAAACACTGTAAAGAGGCCTCTCTACGTTGTGTATAAAAACTGAAGTGACCCACAGCAGATTATCACTAAGAAAATGGCTCAAAAAGAAGCTGAAATCTATAGATCAGAAGTCCAATAAACAACAGCAGGATGTGGAAGATGTGGCTTGGTAACTATGTGTGTAGGTTCAATAAGAAAAAGAAAATGCTACTTAACGGGTTTTAGTTGATGATAAGCTCAACAGAAATCAATGATATAATAGTAGATGCCAAATAAGCTAATGCAATTCTTGGTTGTGCTATGAGAGAGAAGCCCAGGGAGATGACAAACTGTTCTTTTCTGCCACACCTTGTATTCTGTTACAGGCAGTTCACTATAAAGGGGATACTGATTAACTGTGTAATAGCCTAAGGTCAGCACCAAGATCATGAGGGGGATGGAAACCAGCTAAATGAAGAATGGCTGGAAGCTGTTAGAAGGTTCAACCTGGAGAACTGGAAACTCGGGAGGGATTAAAAACAGTCTTTATTTAAAAGCAGTCCTATGGATCAGACGCGTTTTGTGGAGCAGGATCAGTACTTACAAAGTAAAGGAAGGCAAGTCTTTGGCTAGACCTAAGGAAGACCCTTCTATCCAAAGTCATTGTCCAAATGGATGGCTGTAGGCGATCGCTCTAGGAGATAGTGTGTTCCCTATCCCTGGAAAGACTCAAGCAGAAGTTCCCTTAGAGCCACTACGTAGGAATTCAAGCACTGTAGCGGGTGGGTGTGGCCACTCCCTGGAGTAACTTCCATGGCTTTTTCTGGCAACCAAGGCCTCCTCCTCTTCTCTCTAGCTGTTCCCACTGACTGCTAGCGTCCAAAGTCACCTTGTCCCCAGTGCTCTGTGATGAAACCTGGTTTCTACCGTCTAATGCTGTGAAAGTCTGCTCCTGCCCTGTGGGAAATTTTAATAGAATCTTTTAACTGTCACAATGAGGGGAGTAATACGTAAGAGATCAAGGCAAGCTTGTCCTTCAGGTTCTTGAGGATAATGAACAGTGTTTATGCATCATGTGTAGCCCACCAACACAAAGTAAAAATCTCCATAAGATATTTAGACTCAAAAGACTGTGTTAAGTAAGAAAAGTCTGCAAGTTTGGTGGAAAAAAAAATGTATATATAGTTGTTGTCATTATTAAAGTATACATTTAACCAAAATTACATTGAAATATCAACTATTTGTATAACCTTGACAAATTTTCTTCTTTTCCCTTATATAAACTATTTTAAATTAATTAATGTTCTCATTATTTTAAGGTTTTTCCCCACACTTATTTCATATATATTCTTCCTTAAAACACAGTGCATACACTGATGTATATTTAGTTACAATATAATGGTCCATCATTATATTAATAAAATAATTTGCTTCACTTTTTCCCAATTGTTGGATTTTGGGCTTCTGCTTTCTTTTTCTTCAATGACTATCTTATACCACATGATTTATGATTAAAAAAGTTCATACAAAGAGTTTTTAATTTTCAAATCATATTCTTGCAGTACAACTAGGTGAATAGGTTTTTTATGGTTCTTATCATACAAATGATGGACCTAACATACAATATCATTTGTAAAATATGAACATGATTGTCTTTACATAACCCTGCCAATGTTGGGTTTTATTGTTTTTACTTTTGCTCTTTTTGATGAATGGGTGGCTCCTTATATTTGTTTTATTTTACACAGCTTCAATTTTCAGCAAAGACCATTGATATTAAAAACTTTAAGGGCATCTTTCCCCCACCTATTAGACTCATACTTTTGAAAATACTAAACTCACTTTTGAACTCACTTTGAAAATACTCAAACGTTCTCAAGAGAGCTAGTTAAGAGTTTACTGATGAGATTCAACTCCAAATTGAGAACAATAAACTACTAGAACTAAGTTCAGCAAAGCTGTAGGATATAAGCTCAATGTACAAAAATCAGTTGTATTTCTATACACTTTCAATGAACAATCTGAAAAATGAAATTGAGAAAACAGTTCCATTTACAACAGCATCAAAAAGAATCAAATATTTAGGAAGAAATTTAGCCAAGTAGGTATAAGACTTGTACATGAAAACCACGAAATACTGTTGAAAGAAATTAATGAAGACCTAAATGAATGAAAAAAAAATCCCAACATTCATGGATTAGAAAATATAATACCATTAAGATGGCAATATTCCCTAAATTGACCTACAGAGTCAATGGAATCCCTATCAAAATTCCAGCTGCCTTTTGGCAGAAACTGACAAGCTGATTCTAAAATTCATTTTGAAATTTAAGAGGCCCATATTAGCCAAAACAATTTTGGAAAAAAAGGACAAAGGACTTCCCAATTCCAAACTTTAATACAAAGCTACAGTAACCTTAAGACAATACAGTTTTGGCATAAGGACAGACATATAGATCAATGGGATAGAATTTACAGTCCAGAAATAAACTCTTACATCTATGGTCAATTGATTTTTGACAAGGGTGCCAAGACAATTCAATGGAGGAGAAAATAGTTTTTTCAACAAATGGTGCTGGGACAACTGGATATCCACGTGCAAAAGAATGAAGTTGGAAGTCTACCGCACACCATATATGGAAATTAACTCAAAATAGATCAAAGACCTACACGTAAGAAGTAAAACTATAAAAACTCTTAGAAGAAAACATAGGCATAAACCTTTGTGACTGTGGATTAAGCAAAGTTTCTTACATATGACAGAAGAAGCACAAACAAAAAAAATTAAAAAATAGATAAATTAGATGTAATCAAAATTTAAAATGTTTATGCCTCAAAGAATACCATCAAGAAGTGAAAGACAATCCAAAGAATAGGAGAAAATTTCTGCAAATTATATTTCTGATAAGAGACTTGTATCCAGAACATATAAAGAACTATTATAACTCAACAATAACATGACAACTCAATTTACAAATGGGTAAAAGATCTGAATAGCTATTTTGCCAAAGATGTGAAAATAGCCAAAAATCATGAAAAGACATTCGATATCCTTAGCCATCAGGTAAATGAGAAACAAATACCACAATGGAGATATCACCTTACACCCACCAGGATGACTAGAATCAAAGACAGCTAACAGTACTGGCAAAGATGTAGAGAAATATAGAGAACTCTCTCTTTTCTCTTTTTTTCTTTTTCTTTGGGGGGGTAATATTTATTTATTTTATTTATTATCATTATTTTTTTTTAACGTGCATGCTAAGCATGCGCTCTACCACTAAGCTATACCCTCCACCAACCCCCTGAGAACTCCTTCTTATAGTGCTGATGGGAGTGTAAAACGTGCAATCACTTTGGAAAACAGTCTGGCAGTTCCTCAAAAGGCTAAACATAGTTACCATATGACCCAGTAATTCCACTCCTATGTACATACCAAAATGAAAATGTATGTCCACAGAAAAACGTATACACAAATGTTCATAACAGCATTATTCCTAATAGCCAAAAAAATGGGGAAAAAAATTCTGATGAACAGATAAATGAAATATGGTATATCCATACAGTGAATATTATTCAGCAATTTTAAAGAATGAAATACTAACAGATGCTACAACATGGATGAACCTTGAAAACATTATTCTAAGTGAAAGAAGTCAGTCACAGTGGACCATATATTATATGATTTCATTCATCTGAAAGTCCAGAATAGAGAAACCTATAGACAGAAAGCAGATTAGCAGCTGTCTAGGGTCCAGGGTGGGAAGTTGGGAGGGGTGAGGGGGTGACAGCTAAAGTGTTCAGAGTCTCTTTTGAGGTAATGAAAATGTCCTAAAATTGATTGTGGTGATGGCCGCACAACTTTGAATTCAATATAAAAGGTACTGAAGTGTACACTTTAAATGGCTGAATTGTATGCTAAAAAGAAGAAAAACAAACAAGGGTCCAATCTGATTCAACCTGAGCATTTTATTTTTCATCAGCTTCCTAGATGATCCTGATCACAGGTATATGTAAAACACTAAGGAAAAAATATATATGATCTTATTATGATGGGTATACCCCAGGCCTCACCACCTACCAGAGTTCATGGATTGGTAATACATGCAGACTAAAAGTGCTACCTGTTATTGTGAAACAATTACATTCTCTGGAACCCAGAGAAGCAGCAAATTCTCTAGATAAATGTTCTCTTCTCTGTTGCTGGAATTCCAGAAACATGAACAAAGGCACAGACTGTGTTCCTGTATGTGGTCAACAGGGAGGGAAGTGAAAATTTCTGACATCCACATGATTTGTTTTAAAGGATATTGGATAGGACTCCATCTAATTACCACGGAAGTATATTCCAGAACTTGAGACTCCTGCCTGAGAGAATCCGGTGCTAGCACAACCACAGAACAGCTGCTGACCTCAGCAGGCTCTGCACTGGAGCAGCTGAAGCAGCAAACACACTCACTTTCCCCCCACAACCATAAAAATCCCTCAATGTTAGGACCAGGCAGGACTTAGAGGTGACTAGCTATGACTTCTCATTTGTAGTGAGAGAACCAAAGCCCCAGCTGGTTAACAGTTAGGGATTAGAATCCAGTATACCGGATTCCTAGTCCAGTCTTCTTTCTAACACACCAGAAATTTTCTACCCTCCCTAAAATCTCCTTCGGAACAAAACTGGGGCAGGATTAGGTCTGCAGGGGGGATTCTGCATAACAAAAAGTAAATGAGTTCAGAGACTAGCCGTGTGACCCTAATCTCCCCTTGTCTCAATTTCCTCATCTGAAAAATGTCATTAATAACACCTACATCACAATATTGTTAAGAAGTTAGAAGGAAAAGATACTAAATATGTTGCTTGGCCCATAATGGACATTGATTAATTAATGGTAACAACTGTGATTATTACCAGAGAGAAGTTCAAGGACAAGAAGTCAGAAGCTCAAGTCAGGAAGTCACTACACAAATAAATGCTTCAGGACTTGCTCCATTCCATCACTCTGGAGAGCTGAGCCAGGTCTCCATTTTGGAAATAGTGATCTATGTGCCATGAACATCCCAGTAACATGGGTTACTGGGATGTAGACAGATTCCCGAACTTCACAGAAAAGGGAAGCACAGAGGAGTCTTTCCTACTAGAGAGGTCATTGAGAACTGGCTCTGGGTGACAAATCTTTCAAGACAAACGTTTGGGAGATAAAAGAAGAGACAGTACCAGATACTGCATCATGAGGTTTCTCTTTTGGCATATTCAGAATGTCCCATCCACTGGACCCTACACCCATTAAACAGAGGCTAGCTTTGTGTGCTCAGACCCAGTGAGGCCTGGCTAAAGGAAGGAGGTACAGGATTTCTCCAAGGCCTGGGTTAAGATTCAAGGTGAATTTCCTCTATGGAAAAAAGAGAAAAACTAGCCTAGGAGTTAGTGGTTAGTCACACACTTCTGGAATTAGTTATTACGACCAGCCAACAAAAGTAGAAACCAAAGTCCATTTTTTGAGTCCAGTTCTAGGATATCGCTTCAGGACAAGGAGGAAAGAAGAAACGTATCATTACAGCAATGACTCTTTAGCATCTGACCCTGGAAGAGGTATTAAAACCTTAAAGAACTAAGACACTCACTCAGGAAGGGAGGAGGGACAATAAGAAAGAAAAAGCAGGAGTACTTAACACGAGAATTGTTACCTGAGAAAAGGAGGGAAATAAAGCATTCACAAAAACGGTCCTCTGCTCCACCTACTCCATTTCACATCCCACATGCTAAGCAGTTCAGTCCTAGAGTTTCATAGAACTTCTGAGTTAGAAGAAGACTTTTATCTAGTCCAACCCTCTACCCAAAACAACGATCTAATCTACAACATTCCCAAAATAACTGCCAGTGACAATGACCTCTAGTGACAGGGACCATCATGCTCTGTGTTACAATGTGAGAGAGCGCAAATTCTTCTAAAGTTCTTATGCTCACCCAAACCCACTTCCCTAATGGCACTTCCATTCACTGGTCCTAGCTGTGGTCTCTGGAACATTACAAAAATAATGAATCCACCTCCTCACATTGCCTTTAAAATAGACAAAGACAGTTCTAAGCACTTCAAGCTTCCACAGGCATGAGGCTGAATGAACAGATAGATGCTTTAAAGGGAAAACAGGGACTTAAGAGTAGATGATTATAAATTGCACAATCAGAAAACAAAGGGAGAGAGACTTAATATCAACATTGGAGCAGCCTTTGTTGCATACGGCCTCCACCCCAGTCTCAGACTCAGAGCGAATGACCAAGTCTTTTGAGTCCTCTTTACTTCAAGAACATCTTCAAAGAAAATACACTCTAAATGTACAATTAAGTTAATTACTGTAGATGAGGCTCTCAACAGGAATCAAAGACAGCCTTTATTACATTTAAAATAATAAAAGTCAAAAACATTTTCAGCTGTAAGCATTTAGCTTAGACATAATACAGAGACAGGAAGAAAGAGGAGGATTTCATGTCAACCTAAAAACAAGAGGGAAACTGCTTCCTGGACGACTGTATTAAGCCTTGCTGCCAAGCAGATACTAATACACACGTGGTGTGGGAACCTCTCTGATTAGAAAACAAACAGAGATGCAGAGAATGTCAGCGCAAAAGGAGTCCTTAGGATTTTACCCATCACTATACAGACTGGGAAACCTAAACTCAAGCAAGGATGGGAGTCACCCAAGATTGCAAAGTAAGTGTCAGACCTAGAACAAAATCTCCTGATTCCCCAATTTCAGATCTTTCCAATACACCACGCTGCTATCTTCTTTCAGCAAGCCTCAAATAACTGCAAAACATCCATCCAAATATTACCAGCATTCGCCAAATCTGACAAGCTACATTAAAAATAGAGCAAAGGTCTTGCCATTCTCCAAGTTAATGCCAGAGCTCTCCACAGCCTCAGCTAAGAGCCACCTACCCTTCTAGGAGCATACTCCGGTTCTTATTTCATATTTTGGTTGGTATGACTTACACAGAACTGCAGGACGGTTAGAAACAAAACCTACAGAATGATGAGTTTGCAGAAAAATCCTGAACACTGAAACAGGGAACCACACCCAGAGCCGAGCCGAGCCGGAGAATGGAGAATGCAGGAATGCACAGCTAAAAACGGAAGAGGAATGAAAGAGAAGAGGAAAGCAAAAGGATGCATTTTCACCTGTCAAGTTTTCCGCTGGAGGCAGTGTGGTGAAAAGCAAACAGCAGCGGGAGCTCAGGGAGACTAGAATTCTAGTCGCAGCTCTGCGACTAACTCACTGGATGACCTCAGGCAACCCCTATCCTTTCTTGGACCTCTATTTCCCCATCACTCCTAGAAGAGGGTTGCAAAAGATAATATCCCAGAGTCCGAGCAGTTGTGGTATTCTATGACCCAAGGACCCTCTATCAGCCAAGTCTCAAGCAGGGCTCTCGCAGCGAGCGGGACACCTGCCCGGCCCGTCAGGACCGACCCCTTTAGGACCTAAGCACAGCAGAAGCCCCAGCTGGTCGTTTCGGTGATCCTTCCCATCTCAGGACCTAGTCTCCACACCTGTTAAACAGGGCGGGGAGGTTAAGCGAGACAGCGCGAAGGACAAGGGATTCTCCAGTTCTCATCCCCGGAGGAGTGTCCATACCGCACCGCAGCAGCGGCTGAGGAGCTGAGGAGCTGAGGAGACTCGGACCCGCAGCCCAGAGGGGTCTATGCCTGAGCTGGCGCATCCGCGGCAGCCGGAGGAAGGCGACGTGGGTCCGGCAGAAGGCGACGACCCGCCGTCAGCCCAGCAGCTCAGCGCGCGGACTCACCGCTCGGGTTTTGGCTCCGGCTTTGGAGCTCTGGCTCCCACTTCAGCGCAGCAGCCCACCTTTCCCTGCCTCAGCGCGGAGCCCGCCTCATGTCCACCCTCTGCCGCTCCGGCAGCCGCTTCCGGACCCCATCACGTGACCCCGGCGCCCAAAGCCGAACCCTGGGTCACGTGCTCCCGCGCGCTGCTGCCCCTCCCCTCTGGGAAAGGCGGTGCCCCTGAGAGCGGGGACTGAGCCGGCAGTCGTTCTCGGAGCATGCGCAGCCAGCTGAGCGTCGGAGAGCGCGAGATCCCCAGAGTGCCCCGAGTTGTGGGCTTGTGAGGCACTGCTCAGTTTTACACTTGTCGTATTTTCTTTAGTACGTCTCTATGGCCATATGTTGCTTTTATAATCGAGAAATAATACATCTTTTTAAAAAATCATCACCTCATATTTTTAGACGTTCACTCAGATATTGGTGGTTACAACCGGAAATGGGACTGTGAGGTAACTCAATATATCTTTTCAATGTATTTTAAAGATTTAGGTAACATTTTAAAATGAATGGCAACAATTCAGTATGTTTGTGGTGTATACTCTACTCGTTCCTCCTTTTAGCAGTTTTACTTCTAAAAATTATGTGAATACTCAAAAAAAAAGGATGAACTATTGATACAGGTGCTAAATGGTAAATTCTAAAATAACTATACATGAATAAATATAAAAATAATTATGTTGAGCGAAAGAAGACAGAAAAATATTCTGTTTATATAATATTCTAGAAATTTAAAAATAATCTACACTGACAGGAAACATCAGTGGTTTGGGATGGGGAGGTCAGGAGAGGAGAGTTACTTATTAAGGGGCATAAGGAAACTTTAAAGGTGACAAATATGTTTATTATCTTACTCATTGTGACGGTTTCCCAGGGGAATGTATTTGTTGAATGTTATCAAATTACACACTTTAAATATGCGCAGGTTATTATATGTAAATTATACCTCAGTGAAGCGGTTAAAATATTCAGTAAAAATTATATGATACCTTAACATATTCTTATTAGAAATGTTAGACAATATGTAAGTACATAAACCATGAAAATTAACCCTTCTCCCAAATTAACTATCCTCCCCATAGATTTAGTTACCAGCATGTGAGTATTGTCCTCTAAACCCTATGCTATGTATTTATAGAAGTATTTATATATAGACATGTACAGATGTATTAAGATGTAGAATCATAAATACCAGTGTTTATTGTTTTGCTTAAGAATTTAATCTTCACTGTTCATACTGTTTAAATTGGTTCATAAACATTTATTACTTTTTGTAATATATTACATTATGTTTAAAATCTCTATCTGGTTTATAACCTATATATATGTTTTTAAAAACCTACTCCAGTTGGTTCATTTCACCAGGGAAAGAGAAAAAGATGTAGATTCATGCTCCGTTTAGAATATGAAGACAGTGACTTCATCCCATCCTGGAAGAACCACCCGACTTCCCCCAGCTCAGTTCATTGGCTACTCAGTGCCAGGAGCTATACTTAGAATGCTACTGAGCCCAAGTCAAGAAATGTCCCCTTTAGGTCACCTCCTGGACTCAGATTTCACTGATTCTATGGCTCCTGCCAATGTTTCACTCAGGAAAGCCAAAGCTTATGAGAATCACAGCTCCTGGTTGGAATTACTGATCAAGTGGGAATTTGTCTTCCCCATCTGTACCTGGGATGCATTGACTTTCAGTAAGGTTTTCCTTCTACCTGACCACCACACCCTTATTAGAGAGACCCATCAAAAAAAGGCTGCACTGTTTTAAGATACTGTTAGGACTCTATCTACCTTATCATTATGCAGTCTTAATTAGAAAGTAGCACACAGTAATGTTTAATCTTTCTCAATATGCAAATCTCCACTTCTGCTTCCACTGTTTACTCAGAAATGTCAAGATTTCCAGTACAAAATGGATGTGTAAATAAGCATTTTGATTCTTTTGCTCTTAGAAACTATACAAAAGCAAAAAGGAAAAAAGCTCTGCAAATTCTATTTACAGCAAAGCCAGAAGATAAAGAGAATCTACAGATACCAAGACAAACAACAAAAACTCTCCTAAATCTGGTTTGGATAAGGAAAGGGGAGATGATGAGGATGACAGAAAAATTTGCACAGATGAGCCAAATTTGCAGCAGTCCATCTGTGGCAACAGAAAAGAAGAGACTGGAAATACATGTGTTGGTAAGTATGTGAGGCAACCAGGATTCTCATCCATTGCTGGTGGGAGCGTGCAATGATGCAACCACTTTGGAAAACTTTGGCAGTTTTTAATAAAGTTAAACACATACCTATCCCATGGTGGAGCAATTTCACTCTTAAGTATTTACCCAAGAATATAGAAACATATATGTAGTGGGCTGAGGGCCTGGTGCCTTGGGAAAATTTAAGGAGTGACTCACTCTTAGGGTTGTGCAAGTACTGGGTTGGCATTTATATGTATACAAAAGCAAGTGTGTTCTTAAATTTTGTGACCTAGGCTTCCTGGCTTGCCTGACCCTAGTCTTAGCTCTAATCCACACAAAGACTTGTACTTACCTGTTCACAGCAAACAGCTTAATAAAGCTAAATTAGTAACAACTCAAATATTTATCAATAGGTGAATTGGTAAACAAATTGTGGCATATATAGCAGGAAGGAGCTACTGATACATGCAAAAACATGGATGAATCTCATTATGCTAAGTAAAAAAAAAAAAGCCAGACACAAAAAACTACATGCTATGTGATGCAGTTTACATAAATCTATAGAATGAGCAAAAACTAATCTAGTGACAGAAGGCTAATCAATGATTGCTTGGGACGTGTAGGATGGGGGTTGACAGCAAAGGAACACAAGAGAACTTTTTGAGGTGGTGTATCTTGATTGGGATGATGGCTTCATAGGCTTATATGTTTGTCAAAACCATTACCTAACCAATTAAAATATGTGAACTTTATTCTGTTTAAAATCTTAGTTTAAAATTTTTAAGGAGATTACCAGACATCTGAGAAAAGCTTCTAAGGTAAAAGTTAAAAGGTTAATCAATTGGACAAACACATGTAAGCACCTTGGAAGAAACTACACAAAACATAAGAGTACAGATTGTGGTCCCTGGACCAGTAGTATCAGCATAACCTGGAAACTTATTGGAAAGACACATTCTGGAGTTCCACTCCACATTTACTTACTGCATCAGAAATTCCAGGAGTGGGGCCCAGCAGTCTCTGTTTCAACAGCCCCTCCAGGTAATTCTGATGCCCCTTCATGTTGGAGAACCACTGCCCTAAGTATCCTCAGAGAGGCAGGGCATTGCAGTCATGAAATAAAAACAATGTGCTTTAAAAAAGAATATCTTGAGAAAAAATTGAAATATAAATTTTATATTTTAGAATTAATTTTAAATTAAATTAAAATTTGGAAATCTAAAATATAACAGAAATTAAGACTCAAATAGAAGAGTAAGAGGATAAAGATAAGGAAATGTGTTCATTTTTTCATTAATAATTATTTACTGAGTATCTTTGTGCCAGGCTGTAGGAATACAACAGATGACAAAATAGACAAGAATCATTGCTCTTGTGAAGCTTATATTTTAGTGGGAGGAGACAGACAACAAAAATAACTAAGAATAAGTAGCAGGTGTATCTGCTATGGAGAAAAATAAATCAGAAATATGGAAGAGGCAGTCTAGGGGCAGAGGGAAGGGGTTGCAGTCTTTTTAAATAATCAAGGAATCGCTCGCTGAGAAAGTGATAGGTAAATAAAGGCCTGAAGTAGGTGAAGAAACATGCCTCGTGAACTTCTCTGGGGAGAGCATTCTAGGCAGAGGGAATAGCATGTGCCATGTGGTGGGAGTGTGCCTTGCCTATTTGAAGAAAGACAAGGTCGTCAATGTGGCTGGAGCAGAAAGAGCTAAGGGAAGAGAAATACGTCAGGTCAGAGCAGTGACAAGTGGGTGAAAATTATACAGTGTTCTGTGAGCCACTTTCTTAAGGCTTTTATTCTGAGTGATACGGGAAGATATTGGAGGAGTTTCAGCAGAGGAGTGCCATGATCTGACTTGGGCTTAAAAGGATACTTTGTCTCTTGGGTTGATACAAGCAAGGGCAGAAACAGGGGGACCAGTTAGGAGGCAGTTGAAGTAACCCAGGATCAGATTGTGATGACTTGACAAGTGTGATAAGCAGTGAAGGTGGTCAGTTTCTGAAAATATTTTAATGGTAGGTTGGAAATATTGATGGACTGGAAGTGGAGTATAAGAGAAAGGAGACAGATACTTTGGCCTTAGCAACAGGGAAGATACAGCTGCCTTTAACAGAGTCAGAAAGACAAAGGCAGGAACAGTTTCAGTGGGGAGCAAAGGGAGACTTTGTGAAGTGCCTGTTAGACATCCAAGGGAAGAGGTCAGGTGGCCATCGGGATGGTTGTGGAGAGAGGAGGGGTCCAGCCTAGAGATAAAAATGTGGCCTTTGTCAGCACTGTTGATGGTAGTTAATAAGCAAAGAGAGTAGATGAGATCACCAAGGAAGTGAGTACAAATAAAGATGAAAGGAAACCCTAAAATCAAGTCTAGAGGAGGACAGAAAGATGACTAGGAATGAGCAAAAGGAACCACAAAGACATGGTCACTGAGCTGGGAAAAACCAGGAGTGGTGTTATCTTGGAAGCCAAGTGAAGAAAGTTTTTCAAGGAGGTGAGGGACTATGTCAAATTCTACTGCTTGGTCATGTAAGAAGAGGACTAAACACAGACTGCTATATTTAGCAAAGTGTGACCATTGATGGTGTTTAAAAGAGAAGATTTGATGTGGTGGGAGTGAAAGCAACTCTGCAGAGAATTATTGGCCAACATCGTTTATCTATATCCCAACCCAGCACCACCACCACCCTGATTATCTGTTCCCAATGCCCCTGCACCCTAAATTCTCTTGAAGCAAATTCCAGACAGGTACTCTTAGTGGAAAAAAAGTGAAGAGAA